GCCAGCACGGAGACAGGCTGCTGTGGGCTCTGACCTTAATACCGGGTCACAGTCTCTTCTGGGACCAAGAGGACAGGGGCCACGGGTGCAGGGGCTGTTTCCAGGCAGGCTGACCAGTGCCTGCCCGAGCCTCAGGTCCAGTGAGGCCCCGCAGGGCATGCCCAGGACCCACTCTCAGGTCTGGAAGAGCCAGCTGGGCAGTGTTGGTTCCACCAAGAGTGGACAGGACAGAGGACCAGAGATAGCCCCACCCAGTGGGACCCAAGGACACAGACAGCGGCTTTTTAGATGCGTGGGCCAAGGACTGGGGAGCCAGTGACTCTGGGCCCTGGGTGGCCATTCAGGAACCGCGGTGGCTCCCGGACTGCAGATGCTTGCTGTCCACGTAAGCCGCCCTTGTGTGAATGCAGAGCATTAGAGGAACGTTTGAAAGAGTGTTTACTCCCTGAGGTCATGACAGCGCAGGAAAGATGTGCTTTCTGTAGAAAATGTGATACTACAGAGGTAAAGGTCACTTTGATTAAATGGCAATTAGAAATAACACTGCAGGGCTGGGTGCAGCAGCTGACGCCTGTAATCCCAGCACTTCAGGAGGCCGAGGCAGGTAGATACCTGAGGTCACCAGTTCAAGACCTGCCTGGGCAACACAGCGAAACTTTGTCTCTACTGAAAATACAAAAATTAGCCAGGCATGGTGAAGGGGGCCTATAGTCCCAGCTACTGAGGAGGCTGAGGCAGAAGAATCACTTGAACCCAAGAAGCAGAGGTTGCAGTGAGCTGAGATCGTGCCACTGCACTCCAGGCTGTGCGACCGAGCAAGACTGTTCAAGAAACAATGACGTAGAAAAATAAATTTTAAAAATAAAAGCAGGTGACAGACAGGGGTTTGGGTATTTTCAACTTGTGTGCCAAAGTAAGAGTGAATGTCTGACGCACTCAGAGGGGTGTGGGGGCCAAGCCTGCGATCCCAGTGTATGCGGAAGCTGAGGCCAGAGGTCGCCTGAGTCCAGGAGGTCGAGGCTGTAGCAAGCCATGATTACACCACTGCAGTCCAGCGAGACCCTGTTTGTAAAATAAAAAGTGGAAAGTGCATATATTCAAAGACTTCTCCCAATCAGTAGGAAATGGAAGAAGAGGGTGGCGAGAACTGGGGTGCCCCTCCCGGGTTCTCACGGGTGCAGCAGTCACCACCAGTAACCACTGGCTGGCCTGCGCTGAGCCCTGCCCCAGCCGTGCCGAGGGAGCCTGGTCCTGTCCCTTCATATGGAATAGAAAGGGCTGACCCAGTCTGCTTTGACAGTCTGGAAATCTGAAGCCTGCGGTCTTCGGCCCACCCCACCCTGGGCCGGCATGTGGCTGCACGTCCTAGAGAAACTTCTGACCTGATGGTGACCTGATGTGAGCAGCAGTGTTACAGAATAAGCCACACCTGTGTATGAGGTCCGCAAAGGTAAGTGACGTACCTGAGTCCTGAGCACAGGAGAAGCAGGTGGCTAACTACATGGCAGGAGGTGGGCGTGGCAGGCCCCTTTCTGGCCCCCTGAGAATCAGCTGCCACCAGGAGCATCCTGGGGTCTATTTCCAGCCCAGTAGCAGTGAGCTTGGGCACCCGGCTTTCCCCAGGCCTGCTCTGAGCACCAGAGTTGAAGGCATTGAGCAGAGTGGGGCTGAGTCCCTGGTGGTGGAGGGGACACATCTGCGGGTGCTGGCTGAGGCTGGCCTCTGGGAGGCCGCTGCATCCTGATCTAAAGGGGCAGGCCTGGCTGCACCCACCTGCAGACTTCCTCATGGGAGACCAATGCCATAGCCAGGGGTAGAGCAGTGTGAGAGGGAAAGGAAGGTAGACCCCGAGGCTGACAGCAGCTGCGGTGCCCTGGCCTGAGGACCTGTGGGTGACGTGGCCACCGCAGGGTGAAGTCCACACCGGTGGCTCTGGCCTTGCAGCTGTGCACAGGCCAGCCTGGTATGTGGTAGAGATTGGGGCACGGGGTCTCCAAGCCGTGTTCAGATTCCTGTTGTGTGAATGCACTCACCCAGCACTACGTTGTTAAAAATACATTCAGTAGGGAAGAGGGCGAGGGCCTGCAAAAAGGGTACCAAGAAACGTACCCAGGCAAGTTACTGAAGCTACTTAGGGAGGCTGCCTGCTTTTCCCCGCTCAGCTGTCTTCAGCTGCCACACACAGCTGGGAGGGAGGGTCCTCGGCTGACACGTTTCCGCTTCTCAAAACTTGCCTGGATGAGAGAAACGCATTTTCATCATGGAAGAGTCAATGAGGGAAGCTACCTGAAAGCTGTGCGGTAGGGATATTCACAGGAGTCTCATCTGATTATGCGGGAGGTGACGTGCTGCAGTTAGAATCGACTTTTCCAAGCCCGGGGCTGAGTGCCCAGGGCGAAAGCGGCTGGTGCCTGTGTACACACACGCCTGTCCTGTGCACCGCGGGTCTTCCCAGCCTGTTCACACAGCCTCTGCACACACACTGTGGGAGGGGTCCCTGTACATCCAGCTGCCCAGGCTGTCCCCCGCCCCCTGGGCTGATGTGCTCAGGGCGAAAGCGGCTGGTGCCTGTGTACACACACGCCTGTCCTGTGCACCGCGGGTCTTCCCAGCCTGTTCACACAGCCTCTGCACACACACTGTGGGAGGGGTCCCTGTACGTCCAGCTGCCCAGGCTGTCCCCTGCCCCCGTGGCTGAGTGCTCAGGGCGAAAGCGCGCTGGTGCCTGTGTACACACACGCCTGTCCTGTGCACCGCGGGTCTTCCCAGCCTGTTCACACAGCCTCTGCACACACACTGTGGGAGGGGTCCCTGTACGTCCAGCTGCCCAGGCTGTCCCCCGCCCCCTGGGCTGAGTGCTCAGGGCGAAAGCAGCTGGTGCCTGTGTACACACATGCCTGTCCTGTGCACCGCGGGTCTTCCCAGCCTGTTCACACAGCCTCTGCACACACACTGTGGGAGGGGTCCCTGTACGTCCAGCTGCCCAGGCTGCCCCCCCCGGGGCTGATGACTGGTGCCAGGCCTTCCTGACCCCAGGGCCCATCTCCCACACGCCACTGTCTGCCACTCGCATGTGCAGCCCTTCCTACCCACAGTGGGTGCTGACGAAGCTTCACCTGCAGGCGACTCCCCCTCAGCTGAGGCTGCTCTGCCAAGCTGCCTGAGGTGGCCTCCGTGGTGTGTGACCGCCCATCTCCAGTGCAGGCAGCACAGGGTCTTCCTGGTGCCTCCACGTACAGCCAGGTACCAGCCACCCACTGCTGGCCTCTGCCTGTGCTGTCCTCCATGGCCTCGCCGGGTCCACACTACTGGTCAAGTGTGGTGTACCAGGGGTCTGCACCCATACAGCCTCGAAGCCCTCGCAGGAGCCGAGGGCCAGCTGTCAACCCTGTCTGTGAACTGATGAGTGCCATGCCCATTCCTCCGTGGTCTGTGCAGATGCTTCCCTGCCTCCTGCAGTCGAGACGCTCTGACCTTCCCTTCCTCCCACAGAACACTCAGGCCAGCCCGGGGCTCCCCTGCCCTGTTGCCCAGAAGGGAGGCTGTGCCAGCCTCAAAGGCAGTCATCTGTTCTGGCTGGGCTGGAAGTCTGGGCACTATAGGAGAAGGGGTCTTGCTGGGACTGCCCTCACCCCACCCGTGTGTGCTGGCCCAACACCAGCTGTTCTGCCCAACCCCAGGCAGGGTCAGCTCCCACAGGAAACCTTGCAGTCCATTAACCCAGGCACTGCCGCCAGGGGGCCGCAGGCTCGGCTCGGCATGGCAGGGAGGGAGGGAAGGATGCCACCCAGGCCCCTGGCAACCTCTGGGCTGAGCTTGCGCTGTTGATCCATCAGGAGGCCCTGTGGCCCCACTGGACAGGTGGTAGGTGGGAGTCATGTCCTCATGGGAGGTGCAGTGGTGTCTCCCAGACTCGGACATGCCCACATGGATGAAGTCTGTGCATCCTGGTATCCTCAGCCACCAACCATGGCTATTTCTACAGCGTCTGCACCATGTGGGCGTTGTCATACATGGGTACGGGTGTGTGGGATGGACTTGTGCAGGTGGGTATTTCTGGGCGTGGGTGCATGTGTAGGTGGTCCACACCCTCCTCTGCCTCATGCCCAGTGCCACTCCTGATTCTTCTGCCTGGCACTTCCTCCACCCGTGTGCCTCTGCACCCCACACTGCCCATACCCTCCTTGGGGTCCCCTCTGGGCTGGGGGTACCTGGGAGACTTTGGCAGGGTGGGGTTGGCCATGACCACAGCGGCTCCTGGTGCTGGCTAAGTGGAGGCACCATGGTCAGGCTGCTGTGTGCGGGTCCACATTCACTGTAGCCGTTCTGGTCTAGGATTTGTCTTGGAAACTGAAAAAGAGAGTGGCTGTTGTGAACACAGCTCCCCAAGCCTCACTGGCCGTGCTGTGCACTGTACCGGCTGTGGGCAGCATTTCTGGCCGGGTTCTCAGGTGACACAGGGCAGTGCTCCTGTGGTTCTGTCCTTGTGGCTGGGTGGCCCCTGTCTCTGGCCACGTACTTCTGTGTCCTGGGGACTTACTGCTTTCTATCTGCACCTCTGGGCCTGCAGGTCTCGGGTGCCCCGCCTCTCCCCACGCAGCTGTACCTACTCAGCGTCCTTGCCAGGTGTGGCTGCGCCCCCCTCTTGTGTCCTTGCCTGGCGGGGACCCCATTTCCTCCATGAGACTGAGCAGAGCCTCAGGGTGGGGTGCATGCTCAAAGGGAAACATCTCAGCCACCACAGTGGGGAGTGGGCAGCTCTGACCAGCACCGGCGTGCACCCTGCGCAAGGCTGAGGGGGCTGTGGTGGGCATTGCTGGGACTCAGGATGCCCTGGTGGGGGTGAGGGGCAGCGCGTGGTGGGGAAGCAGGTGTTCGTGTGGCCTCCCCCAGTGTCTGGGCTGGTGCCTGAGGGCCACGGGCTAATCTCCCAGCTTGGCTCATCCCTGCCCCGAAGGCTGAGGTGCTGGCTCAGATGGTGTGCTTCCTCCTCGCTGCAGGTCCTGAATGAGGCCGTGGGGGCCCTGATGTACCACACCATCACACTCACCAGGGAGGACCTGGAGAAGTTCAAAGCCCTGCGCATCATCGTCCGGATCGGCAGTGGTTTTGACAACATCGACATCAAGTCGGCCGGGGATTTAGGTAGGCCGGCTCTGCGTTCTCTCCCGTGCCCATTCGTGCAAGCTCTGTCAGCTCGCTGCTTCCATGGAGGCTTCGCTGCCACATCAAGGACCCCACTGCATGTCACCAGGCGGCAGTGGCGTGTGGTCCCGTCAAGGGCCGGCATGAGGTTGCAGCCATTCCGTTCCTCACAGAGCCTCACCTGCGGGCACATGCTCTCGTGGGGAGCAGGAAATCCAGCTGCAGCTTCACACGCGTGCAGCTGCTGCCACTTGGGTCTGTGTGCACATCGGGCTGGTGCCCCTTGCTGGGGTACTAGGGCCCTGGGGGTGAGGGGCAGGGGTGTCAGTGTATGGCTGTAATAGGCTCATAGGTCTCTGTGCCAAGACACGGTGGGAATGGCGGTGTGTGTCAGAGCCCAGTAAATGTGTGCACGCGCATGGGACACACACACACACACACACACACATCTGCAACATGCACGCACACATCAGAACAAACTCGGGGAGCGGTGCTCGGCTTTCTGCATGGAGTGCACGTTCCATTTTCTGCCGTGCCCGGTCTGTTTTTCTCCTCCTCATACCCTGCTGGTATCCACGGTTGGCCAGATTCCGATGTGGTCTTGCTTCCCTGTTCCTAGGATGCAGCTTACGGCGTCGTAAAGTCGGAACCGCTTGTGTTCCTGCGGGAGACGCGGGTGGTGTTGGAAGCCAAGCGTCCTGTTCGGGGTTTCCTCCTGTGTTGGCTTGAGCTGCTTTGCCGACACATGTGGGCCACAGCCGCGTGCAGCCCCGTCCCGCCTTGGTCCCTGTGGGTGGCATCCCGGGAAGGGCTGGCCATGGTGCCTGTCGGGTGCAGGCCTGGGCGCTTTCTGGGCGGCCCCTGCTGTTTACCATCTCCGTTGTGCTTGGAGTTTCCCAGGCCAGGGCCCTGCTTTCCAGTCTGGGGCGTCCCTGGGATCTGGCCGCCCTCAGGAGGCCTTTGCTTCAGTCTCGTGCCTGGCCTGCCCCTCCTTCCACTGCTTAACATTTTTACATCCAAGCGAGCTGTGTCTGGGGGCTGTGTGGGACCCCGCCCCTGGCCTCATACAGCCCCTGCTCGCGCCTCCCCATGTCAGGCCCCTCCTGGCTCTCGGGACCACTTGTGGGACCACGTGGTCCTGTCCAGCCTCTGGGCATGAGTGCAGCTCTGTCCTGGCCCCGGTTCCTCCTCGCCAGGGAGACGGACGGCCAGTCAGGTACAGGGCCAATTGGATGCAGGCGTGTGACCACCCGGATGGGGTAGGAAGTACAAAGCTGGCCGGGGAAGGGCCTGCATCTGGGTATGAGGCCAGGAGAGTGGAGTAGGGGTCACATGGAGGACGTCACACAGCAGGCACACATGGGTGTGCCCGGCCCAGCTATTCAGGAGAAATGGGATGGATTTGCTTTCCAGGAATGGCTCCAGCTTTGGTGTTACTGACTGTGGGCTGTGGGGCAGGGAGGGTGGAAGGGGTTGCAGGGGCCCCACTTGGCCTGGGGGAGCCCCAAGGACACGTGCAGATGTCCATGTATGTGTGCCGGTGGGCCGGCACCCAGATTCTGACCTGGCTGCAGCTTCCCAGGGAGGAATTGGGGCAGTGGTGGTCCTGGGCTTCTAGTGCTGAGTTGGGAGGGGTCAGGGTTGTGTCTCCGCTCCAGCCCCAGCACACATGAGCAGGGGCCTCATGAACCTTAAGTGGAGGCGGGGCTTGGGCCACAGGGGCCTGGCTGGTTACTCTACCACCCCCAAGCCTGTGAGATGCGCTTGTTACATAGTGTCCCAGGGTGGCCCTGGGGACATGTCCTTTGGCTTCTTCCTTGGGAAGCTTCACACCTGCCCTGGCCCCGGTGACCCTGGTGTCCTCCCGGGAGCTGGGCCCAGTCTGGGGGTGACTGCCGTGTCCTTGTTCCCACAGGAATCGCCGTCTGCAACGTGCCTGCAGCGTCCGTGGAGGAGACAGCCGACTCGACGCTGTGCCACATTCTGAACCTGTACCGGCGGGCCACCTGGCTACACCAGGCGTTGCGGGAGGGCACGCGAGTCCAGAGCGTTGAGCAGATCCGAGAGGTGGCGTCTGGCGCCGCCAGGATTCGTGGAGAGACCTTGGGCATCATCGGACTCGGTGCGTCGGCCACAGTTCCGTGCCTGTGCCCCCTCCCAGCGTCTGGTGCTGCCACTCTTCAGCCATGCCTAGGAGGAGAGGCCCAGGTCTAGGCGGGGCTGCAGGTGTCGGTCCCAACCCAGGACAGGACTGAGTGTGCACAGCCCAGGCGCTGGGTCCCGGGAATCCCAGGCTGTGTGCCCTGCACAGATGTCACAGCACACACATGGGAATCACACAGGTTTGTACACATGTCACACGGACGTCACTGCACACACAGCCTCACATGGGCACACACAGACATCACAAACAGATGTCACAGCACACACAGCCTCACACACACATCACAGCACACACGTGGACCTCACGGGCTTGCACAGATGGCACACGTGTGGACCTCACAGTTATCACAGTACACACGTGGACCTCATGGGCACAGACATCACAGATGTCACAGCACACGTAGGCCTCACATGGGCCTGCACAGACGTCACACACAACACCACAGCACACATGTAGGCCTCACAGACATCACAGTACATATGACCTCACAGGCACACACAGGCATCACATGTGGATGTCACAGTACACGGCTATCACACGGCACATGGGCATCACCATGGACGTCACAGCACACACGGCTATCACACAGCACACGGGCATCACACGTGGACGTCACAGCACACACGGCTATCACACAGCACACGGGCATCACACGTGGACGTCACAGCACACACGGCTATCAGCACACGGGCATCACACGTGGACATCACAGCACACACGGGCATCACACATGGACGTCACAGCACACACGGCCATCACAGCACACACGGGCATCACACGTGGACATCACAGCACACACGGCTATCACAGCACACACGGGCATCACACATGGACGTCACAGCACACACGGCTATCCCACAGCACACACGGGCATCACACGTGGACGTCACAGCACACACGGCTATCACAGCACACACGGGCATCACACGTGGACGTCACAGCACACACGGCTATCACAGCACACACGGGCATCACACGTGGACGTCACAGCACACACGGCTATCACAGCACACACGGGCATCACACGTGGACGTCACAGCACACACGGCTATCACAGCACACACGGGCATCACACGTGGACGTCACAGCACACACGGCTATCAGCACACACGGGCATCACACGTGGACGTCACAGCACACGGCTATCACAGCACACACGGGCATCACACGTGAACGTCAGCACACACGGCTATCACACAGCACACACGGGCATCACACGTGGACGTCACAGCACACACGGCTATCACACAGCACACACGGGCATCACTGTGGACGTCACAGCACACAGGGCTATCACACAGCACACACGGGCATCACTGTGGACGTCACAGCACACACGGCTATCACAGCACACACGGGCATCACACGTGGACGTCACAGCACACACGGCTATCACACAGCACACATGGGCATCACTGTGGACGTCACAGCACACACGGCTATCACACAGCACACACGGGCATCACTGTGGACGTCACAGCACACACGGCTATCACACAGCACACACGGCTATCACACAGCACACACGGGCATCACACATGGACGTCACAGCACACACGGCCATCACACGGCACACACGGGCATCACACATGGACGTCACAGCACACGGCTATCACGGCACATGGGCATCACACATGGACGTCACAGCACACACGGCTATCACACAGCACACACGGGCATCACTGTGGACGTCACAGCACACAGGGCTATCACACAGCACACACGGGCATCACACGTGGACGTCACAGCACACAGGGCTATCACACAGCACACACGGGCATCACTGTGGACGTCACAGCACACACGGCTATCACAGCACACGGGCATCACACGTGGACGTCACAGCACACACGGCTATCACACAGCACACATGGGCATCACTGTGGACGTCACAGCACACACGGCTATCACACAGCACACACGGGCATCACTGTGGACGTCACAGCACACACGGCTATCACACAGCACACACGGCTATCACACAGCACACACGGGCATCACACATGGACGTCACAGCACACACGGCCATCACACGGCACACACGGGCATCACACATGGACGTCACAGCACACGGCTATCACGGCACACGGGCATCACACATGGACGTCACAGCACACAGGGCTATCACACAGCACACGGGCATCACACATGGACGTCACAGCACACAGGGCTATCACACAGCACACGGGCATCACTGTGGACGTCACAGCACACACGGCTATCACACAGCACACGGGCATCACTGTGGACGTCACAGCACACACGGCTATCACACAGCACACACGGGCATCACACATGGACGTCACAGCACACACGGCTATCACACAGCACACACGGGCATCACACATGGACGTCACAGCACACACGGCTATCACACATCACACACGGGCATCACTGTGGACGTCACAGCACACACGGCTATCACACAGCACACACGGGCATCACACATGGACGTCACAGCACAGGGCTATCACACAGCACACGGGTATCACACATGGACATCACAGCATGCACATGACCTCACGGGGACATACAGATGTCACAGCACACACGGCACACAGGGACATGATCTCACGGACACGTTGTCAGTTGTGGGCACATACGCGGCTAGACGCGGACATACATGTGGGCACACATGTCAACCACGGTCTGGCATGTGCTCACCCTTCAAGGCCCCTGGAGCTGGCTGTGTGGGCTCTGCTCAGGGGCAGGGCCTCCTCTGCTGTCACCAGTAGCTTTCCCCTGGTGCTGGCCCTGGTCCCATGGAGTGCTTTGACCCCCTGTGTTCCCTCTTGATTTGCCTTCTCACTCTGCAAGCCGCCTGTCCTGGGTCCAGTGCGCAGCAGGCCCCACACAGCCAGGCCCAGGTTAAGCTCAGACCAGCAGATGTGTGCGTGTGTGTGTGTGTGTGTGTGTCTGTGTGTGTATGTGAGATTCTGGGAGTAGAGTTATGTCCTGAAGGAAAGTGGAGCTGGGAGAGGGCAGGTGTGGGGAGCCCTATAAAGGAGGGAGGAGAGTCTGGGCTGGGCCCAGGTATGGGCTGGGAAGATGCTCCCTTAGAGGGTTCATGGAGAGGCTGGGGGGTGGTCCCTTTTCTGAAGACCCCTGGACACTGTGGCCCAGGTAGCTGTCTCCCCAGGAGGCCCCATGGGGATGTGAGGACCGGGGACTCCCCTTGACCAGCTGGCCCCGCGCTTCCCAAACATTCAGACAGCCCGCCCCTGCTGACTACTGTCCTTGTCTCGCCAGCGTGTGGGGAACAGGGACATACTGGGTGGTCTTGGTGAGGATAACGCACCTCAACTAGTGGGAGAGGTTGGCTCACAAATGTGCATGGAACACATGTTTGTCTCTTCCTTGACACAACTCTCATGACCTTGCTGGTGCCCCAACCGGGACCCCAGGGCTGGCTGGAGCCTGAGGACCCTGGAGCCCTGAGGTGCCGGTCTCTTACACCTCTGCTCGTCTGAGGCCTGGGCAACTCTGCCCATGTCAAGGCCAGGGCACGCGTGTGTGGAGGGGAGGCAGGAGGGGGCACAGGAAGCCCAGGTGTGGGCAGAGGCTGGGAGGGGCCAGGAGGTCGGGGCTCCTTGAGCTGCCTGGCAACCCTGTGCAGGGTCAGTGCCTGGGCTGTCTCCAGAGCAAGCTCATGGGATGGGGGCCACGTGTGTCCCTTGCTGCAGGGCGCCGTTGGACCCGCAGCCACAGGTCTGACACCTCACCTGGGGTGAACGAGGGACTAGGGGGCTTGGGAGGGCGTGGGCTGTGTCTGTGTGTGGCGGGGGTGTCTGTAGTTCCCCTGGTAAGAGCAGGTGGGAGTGTTGCCTTTGGAGTTCTGTGTCCTCTCTTCTGGGGTCAGGGTCCGTGGTCCCAGCCCCGAAGGCCCCAGGCTCTTCCCATGGCCACTCTGAGGCCCAAGGGTGACACCTGCCTAGGCTGAGCATGGAGTTTGGCCCAACCTGCCCTTCCCATGGCTACATGCTGAGTGGGGGCTGGAGTGCCTGGTCGGGGTGCCACAGGGGGCAGGGCTGTGGCCACCCCTTTCCTTGAGGACCCCACCTGCTGAGGCCCTCACCCAGGCCTGACCTGAGGAGTGTTGGTAGGGACTGTGGGGTGGGTCCTGGCATCCTGGGGAGTGCAGGGTTGGGGGGCTTGCCATGGGCATTCTCCCCTGCACTGGCCCAGGTCATCCTGTGGGCCCTCAGGTAGGTGCCCCTAGAGCCGCTAGGGTCAGTCCTGGGGTGCAGCTGCTTCCCTCTCTCTTGGCGCAGCCACCTCTGCCTGTGGTGCTCTCGTGGTGATGCTCCCTTGGCCTCAGGAGCTGAGGAGAGTGGTTCCGTCCTCTAGGGACACAAGCCCCCTGATGCAGCCTCCACCTCGTGGACAGGGACCCCCACCGCACTCTGGCCACCTACCTGGCACCTTTAACCACAGAGCACCTGCAGCCTGCACTCAGCCCCTTGCCTTTGTCCCTGAGCCCCATCCCTGCCCTCCTTGTGCTCCAGGCAGGGCCAGTGCTAGTCACCAGCTGCTCAGGACCTCCCAGGGTCTGCATGCCCCCGTCTGCCCTCCGCTGTGCACGCCTGTGTCTAGGTGGTTCTCAGTGTGGAATCCACTCTTGTCGTGACTACAGGAAGGCTGAAGCCCCGGGTGGCGTGTGGCTCACGGTGTCGGCGCCACTCGGCGTAGGCGACGGGGGCGGCCGCTTCCTCTGCTCTGCGAGGCTCTGGTGCCCATGACTTATGTCTCCTTCTGGTTCTTTTCCTCCCTCCCTTCTGAAAAATGCACTGTCTTATGTACACACAGGAAAACGTGGTACACATTTACACCCAAGAACCACCCCCAGGCCATCTACACTATGCAGTCCCCTGAGGCCCCCTTCCGCCACAGCTGCCCGGCGATGACCCGGGTCCTGCTTCCTAGAGCACAGGCCTTCCCCAGCTCTGCTGAGGTGCCCGCCTCCTGTTGGTCGGGCTGGTGACTGGGTCTTGTCTGTTTTTGCACGACCCAGCAGCTCCTTCCCTGACGACAGTTCCATCACACGGACCCAGGCTGATTCACTTGTTCATACTCTCGGTGATGGGTTCTCTAGGTTTGTGGCCAGAATATCACAAACAAAGCTTCTGTGAGCACATTTCTCTTGGGTTTGTTCCTTGGAGTGGAATTTTTGCGTCCCAGAGCAGGACGTGGCTTCTCGCTTCGGCAGCCATGTCCTCGCCAGCACTCCGTGTTGTGGTCTGTGTAGTTCTAGCCACTCCAGCAGGCGTCTCCTGGTCTTTTCATCTTAACCTGCAGCTTCCTGATAGCCAAGGAGGCCGAGCACCGTTTCCTGCCCTTGCTGGCCGCCGGCAGTGCCTGTGTTGTGAAACCCAGAGCCCTTCATGGCTTTCCTTGTGTTTTCTGCTGTGGTCTTCTCCGTGTTGCCTACGAAGGTCTCACGTGATCTGTGTCAGCCTTGCCAGGTCAATATGCACCGTGGGTATTTTCTTAATTTCAAACTGTTTGTTTTTAAGTATTTCCCAGTATCAGGCCACGGCTTGACTTTTCACTGTCTTGGCGTCTCTGCAATGAGAACACGTTTTCAGTTCTGAAGAAGCCCAGCGTATCACACTGATTTTTAGGTGGATGTCTTCTGTGTTCCGAGGAATCTCGCTTACCCAGGGCCATGCAGGCGCTCTGTGCTTTCTTCTGGAAGCTTTACCTCTGGGTCCAGGGTCTTCTGGGTTGCCACTCACACGTGACGTGAGGCTGGGGTTGTGGTCCTCCCTTTCCCGGGATGGCAGGTCACCGCAGCCGTGACGTGAGGCTGGGGTTGTGGTCCTCCTTTCCCGGGATGGCAGGTCACCGCAGCCGTGACGTGAGGCTGGGGTTGTGGTCCCCCTTTCCCGGGATGGCAGGTCACCGCAGCCGTGACGTGAGGCTGGGGTTGTGGTCCCCCTTTCCCGGGATGGCAGGTCACCGCAGCACATGTGGGCCCTCCTTCCCATTGGCTTCTCTGTGGAAAGGCAGCTGGTCACATGTGAGTGGGTCCGCCTGAACACTTCTGTTCTGTTGACCTGTTTCTCTTCCCTGTCTCCCGCACTACACTGTCCACACGGCATTGAGCCTGGAGATCTGGCAGGCGGTGTTCCCTGTCCCGTGCCACACCGTCCACACGGCAGTGAGCCTTGAGGTCTGGCAGGCCGTGTTCCTTCACCGTGCTCTTCTCCCGGGTCTTGGCTGTTTTAGGCCCCCCTGTGCCTTTCCATTTCTGTTCTGCGGTCAGCTCTTCAGTGTTCATTGTGTTGAGTCCTTAGCATGAGTTCTGGGAATGCTGACGTCCCAGTGATAGTGAATCTTCGCTCCGTTTATTTTAACTTTCCTTGACAGCATTCTGTCATGATCAGTAGAAGGATTCCACAGAGTTCATTCAGTTACGGTTCGGCATTTGGCATTTGCAACGCTATTACAAATGGGTTTCACCATGTTGGCCAGGCTGGTCTTGAACTTCTGATCTTATGTGATCTGCCCGCTTTGGCCTCCGAAAGTGCTGGGATTACAGGCGTGAGCCACCATGGCCTGTTCTTTAAAAAAGAAAGTTAAATTCTTTTCTCTCTGCTTTTGTTTGGGTAGCGTCTGCTGACTTGGAGCCTGCCGTCAAGCTCGCGATCCTTTTCGCTGCTCATCTCATCCAGGGAGTTCTGTCTCAGAGAGGATGTTTAGTTCTGGGATTCCTGTGTGGTTGTTTATCCGCCATCCTTCTGCTGTTTACCTCCACACTTGCTGTCATTTGTGAGCACGTTCAGAGTCGTTATTTAAGAGCCTTTGCTGGCTGGTTCCAGCCTCGCTCACCTGTGGGTTCGTCCACTTCTAGTGTCATTTCTAATGAGAAGCCACATCTTCCTGGCGCCTCACCTGTGTCATCATAGTTCCTAGCATAAGCCAGACGTTGTGTGGAAAAGAATAGCAGAGACCAAAGCAAAGAATCGTCTTGTCCGGAACAGCCGCTGCTCTCCCGTGTCAGGCGCGGGGGGCACGGGGCTGGGGCTCGAACTAGTTCTCGCCACTGGCAGCCCGACTCCCGGGGGCTTTCTGTATAGCGCAGTGGGAGGCCACGTCTCTTCTGCCTTCTGCGCTGCGGGAGGTGCCTCTCCCTCCTCCTTTTCCTGCCCACTCAGGGGGATCCCTGGTAAGGGGTTTGATGGGCGGGGCTGTTCCCACTCCTGAGGAGCTCCCTGGGGACTCGGGCCATCCTTCCCATCCTCAGGATCCTGCACCCACCTCTGCCCTGCCGAGCCCACCTCCCTGCATCGGGTACCCTGGCTGTGGCTCCAGCCCTCGGAATCCTGCTTCTACTCCGCCCTGCTGAGCCCTCCCTGGACTGGGTTTCTATGTGGCCCTTTGAGGAGTTGCCACGTATCTTCTGGAACCCTCCATCTTTCTGCTGCTCACCTCCACACTTGTGTTACCTCTGGGCATGTTTAGAGTTTTTGCTGGAACCACCATGTTCTTCTAGAGCAGGTGTCTCTCTTTCTAGGATGTGGTGTGTTGAGGTGGTCCTCAGCTCTTCTGACTGGCCTCCCAGCCACCCCCAGTCCTGTTCCCCTGGGCGTTTGGGCTGCGTCCGGCTGCCCTGTCTGCCTGGCAGTCTGGTCTCCTTGGCCCTCAGGTCACTACGGGCCCCTCGCACATGCTGTTTCAGCTCTCCGGCTTCCTTCCTGTCCCCTCGTGTCTCTAGCAAGCTTGGCCTTCTCAGGGAGGCCTGCCCTGGCGGCCACCTTTGAAACTGCGTCCACTCCCCGTCCTGCCCCAGCACCCACCCTGCTTCCTTCCTTTGCAGCAGTCCCCTCCTACGTGATACAGGGGAGAGTGCGTTCGAGGTCTGGGGTCCTGTGTCCTTACAGCCGTGTCTGCGCTTCTGAGTCTGTGCCCGCACTGTTGGCTCACAGTGGGTGTGACCCTGCAGACCCTTCCGTAGGGCAGATCCAGCCCCAGCCAAGCTTGGTGGCCCTCTCTCCGAGGCTCCTGTGCTGGGACCCGCACCAGCGTTGGACTGCTGGGGTGGGGGCAGGCAGTGGGTGAGAAGGTCCCACAGCAGGGCTGGGGGATGGGTAGGCATGTCTGCCTGGGTGGCTTTCTCTGCTGCTCCACACAACCAGGACAGGACGTAACCCCAGCGGGAACACCCTAGTCTGGAGGGTTCCCTCCTGCCCCATTTGCTGTCTCCACCAAGCTGTGGTTGAAATTGAGGTGCCAGAGACGCTGATGGGTAGACCCAAAAGCAGACCATCAGAGGGGCCTGGGCACACATGGCATGTGTGGGCTGGGTGGAGACCTGCTGACCTGACGCGGAGTGGTTCATGTTGCGTCCTGTGGACAGACTGCAGTGGGCGTGGCATGACTGACACGTGGTATGGGCCCAAGGGAGAGCTCACCCCTTTCCACCCCTGTGTACAGCCTCCGCCTTGCCAGCGGGCACATTGGAAGCAGATGTCTTGTGTGGAGCGGGCACCCAAGGTGTCATCTTTGGCAGACAGACGGTCAAACTGAGGCACAGAGGCCACGCTGACCCTGGCTGTGGGTGAGCAAGGGTCTCATGCTGCCTCTTGACACCACCAGGTCGTGTAGGGCAGGCGGTGGCGCTGCGAGCCAAGGCCTTCGGCTTCAACGTGCTCTTCTACGACCCCTACCTGTCAGACGGCGTGGAGCGGGCACTGGGGCTGCAGCGCGTGAGCACCCTGCAGGACCTGCTGTTCCACAGCGACTGTGTGACACTGCACTGCGGCCTCAACGAGCACAACCACCACCTCATCAACGACTTCACCGTCAAGCAGGTGCGTGGGCCGGGGGCAGGACTCCCTTCTGGCAGGGACAGCATGAGGGACAGGTGGGGATGTCAGGTGGGTCCCTCCCAGCTGCCACCTGCACCTGGGTGAGACTCTGCCCTCCTTGAGCCACACCACGGTGTCCACCAGCCCTGCTGGAGTCAGCCACATCGGCACAGACGGCTTTCTCCATGTTCCGGGCTCTACTCAGGACACCTAAAATGTTCTCCATACGAGACAAAACCACAGACCTTTGAGTACCAGATCCCCGTGAAGTCCTTGTCGCTCACACAGCGGGACAGATGCAGCTGCCTGGGGGCCTTGGGTCGGCCATTGTGGCTTCCGTGCTGTGCCGCCAGGTTCAGGTTGCAAATCTGCAGCTGGAAAGGGCTGTGCTCAGGCGGGCCTCTGCCTCAGCACTGTGCTCCCCTGGAGTGGGTGGAGTTGGGGGCGCCTGGCTCCCACTGGCTCCAGGCCTTTCAGAGGGCTGTATGTGTGCATTGGTGTGTATATACATGGGCACGTGTGCTTGGGTGCACATATGTCTGCACTTTGCATGTGCTGGTTTGTGTGCATATGTGTGCACATGTCAGGGGCCACGTGTCAGCCGCCTGCCCAGACCCCTGTAGCCGCAAGGAGGATGAGGCCAGGTGCCCGCTTACCCTGTCTTTGTTCACAGAGCTTTCTAGTGCACAGGGTGTGGCACATGGACGCTGGTCAGAGCCCTGCTGTCTCTGAGGACCTTGGGTGTGAGGCTGCAATGGGCAGCAGCTCACAAAGAGGAGCCACTGTGACCAGCACGGGTGCCCGCCGAACACCGTGGCTGGGTGGGCTGACTTTGCTGAAATGGAGGGATGCAGGAAAGCCGTGGCTGCGAAGCCAAGGGGGAGTCTCTCCAAGGGCCTTTTGCGAAAGCGCATGAAACACAGCAGGCTCTGCTGCAGGCCCCGGCTGGGGCTGGAGTTGAAAACCACGCCTCAGTGCAGGCAGCCCTGGGCGTTGGGAGGCTGGGCTGGAGGGGACCCAGAAAGAGGGTACCACAGGGGCCAAGCCTGGAGCCCCACCCAGTCCTCAGCTCGGCTTGGACAGGAGGGTCGAGCTCTCTAGGAGGTGTGGGGCTGTGCAGGTCTCTAAGGCCTAGCCCCAGCCAGCCTGCCAGGGCCATGGTGCCAAATGCCCAGGGTGGGCCTGGGCTGGGAAGGGGCCAGGGAGCTCCCCCACCTGAGGGGGCGCACTGCCACCCTTGCTTCCCTGGTCACCCACCCTGCGCAGATCCCTGACTGAGCCTAGCCTTGTCCTTATGTCTTCCAGATGAGACAAGGGGCCTTCCTGGTGAACACGGCCCGGGGTGGCCTGGTGGATGAGAAGGCGCTGGCCCAGGCCCTGAAGGAGGGCCGGATCCGCGGCGCGGCCTTGGACGTGCACGAGTCGGAACCCTTCAGGTGCCCCCATGGCTGGTGCCGTCCCTGCCCTTCCCTGCCCACCTTCCTGCCAGGCCAGGCACTTGTCTTTGCTCAGCCTCTTGCTAGCCAGCACTGGGGGAGTTTGCCCTCCACTGTGTGATGAGGATGGAGCCATGGGCTCCAGGCCTGCCTTGCCTCAATGCTGGGAGGCACTGGTTGTGCTCCGCAGCCTCTCTTTGGGCAGGGCTCCCAACCAGCCAGGAGAGCATGAGGCTCCAGTGTCTGTGAGTGGTCCCCGACGGCCCTGGCCATGGAGCCACGGGGTCACATCCCTACCTGCAAACAGTGCTCTGGGACCCCAGGCAGCCCTGGGCTGGATGTTAGTTACAGAAGATACCCTCGGCAGGGGCAGGATCAGCTTGTGGGACCCACAGACCCTTCGGTGGAGAGGGGCCAGGCCAGTATGTCCCCCCCATCAAGGCTGCTCCCCTGAGGGCTTGGAGATTAAATCCCACTGCTGTCAGGAGCCCCCAGTGGGTCTGACTGTCCCAGGCTGTGCCCTTGTGCTCAGCCCACCTGCCCAGCAGAGCAGAGGCCGTGGGGTCTGCTTCCCAGGCAGGGCCCTCCCCACCGGGGGTCCAGTGCCCAGCCACCTTCCCCCGCCGAACGCAGGCACAACACTTGGGCTGCACTGACCATGCCGGTGCTGTTCCCAGCTTTAGCCAGGGCCCCCTGAAGGACGCACCCAACCTCATCTGCACCCCCCACGCTGCATGGTACAGTGAGCAGGCATCCATCGAGATGCGAGAGGAGGCAGCACGGGAGATCCGCAGAGCCATCACAGGTGGGCACGGGGGCGGCTCGGTCAGGCCTGGGGAGCTCCGCAGAGCCATCACAGGTGGGCGCGGGGGCGGCTCGGTCAGGCCTGGGGAGCTCCGCAGAGCCATCACAGGTGGGCGCGGGGGCGGCTCGGTCAGGCCTGGGGAGCTCCGCAGAGCCATCATAGGTGGGCACGGGGGTGGCTCCATCAGGCCCTGCACCCACCTGTGGTAGCCTGGGGGCCCCCTTCCTGCCAGCCCCAGGTGCTTGTGGGCTCACATCTGCCCAGCATCCGGGCTCATGTTCTGCCAGCTCAGGGCTGTGGTTCTCACTTCTCTCACCAGGGCCCCTCAGGGGCCTCTGAGGCCAAAGTCAGGCTGAGCCCTGGAGCCATGTCTTACACACAAGACCTGCCGGTTGGGGCCTGTGAGCTGCTCTGGGAAGTTCCTGGGCTGAGCAGACAGGCCCCTCAGCAAGCTGGGCACATGCTCTGGGCTGGGGGTTGCCTACGCTGTGAGGGTGCTGGCCCCCAAGAGTACCCAGCTGTGCCTGGGGAGCCCCAGGGCCGAGGGCAGGAGCACAGGGCCGAGGGCGCTGCAGTTCATGTCCTCAACCCAGTGGGCCATGCTCCTGGGGTCCCCTCAGAGCCACAGCTGTTCCTCCCTCCTACGTCTCCCAGGCCGGATCCCAGACAGCCTGAAGAACTGTGTCAACAAGGACCATCTGACGGCCGCCACCCACTGGGCCAGCATGGACCCCGCGGTCGTGCACCCCGAGCTCAATGGGGCCGCCTACAGGTGAGCAGGCCCACTGGGCACTTAACAGCCTCCATGAGGGTGGGTGGCTTCCCCTGGATCCCAGCACAGCCCCTGACAGGAGGGGCGGCGTCTCTGCTGAGCTGGAGGATCTGGGTGGAATTGGTGCCCACCTCACCCAAAAGTCCCACAAGAACCAGGGCCCCTTGGAAGGAGCCTGGGCTGGATGGCCTTCAGGGCCCAGTGGACACAGGACTGCTGGGCAGAGGCCTGTGGGCACGGGGGCTATGGGAACAGGGGGCTTTGGGTGAGGTGAGGACCTCATGTTCCAGTTGCCTGGAGACACCAGGGCTCCCCTCCCCTGCCCTGAGAAGTAGCTCCCGTGGGCAGGAGCGTCCATGCAGAGGCAAGAACCCTCCCCCTGACTGCTGGTCCTCCAGGAGATGCCCCCTTGGTGCCACTGCCAGTGTGAGGGCAGGTGGGGCCCGGCCAGGTTGCCTACAGGTGGGCCCCACGGCTGGACCCTCTCCCAGCAGGTACCCTCCTGGCGTGGTGGGTGTGGCCCCCACTGGCATCCCAGCTGCTGTGGAAGGCATCGTGCCCAGCGCCATGTCCCTGTCCCACGGTCTACCCCCTGTGGCCCACCCGCCCCACGCCCCTTCTCCTGGCCAAACTGTCAAGCCCGAGGCGGATCGAGACCACGCGAGTGACCAGTTGTAGCCCGGGAGGAGCTCTCCAGCCTCGGCGCCTGGGCGGAGGGCCGGAAGCCCCTCGGACCAGAGTGTGCAGAGGAGGTGCCTGCGTGGCGGCCGTGGCGCTGCAGAGACTGTCGGGCAGTGCAGGAGGCGGGTGGGCAGCGCCGGGCCCGTGTCGGTTTTCGTCGTCCGTCCCGTGGGCTCTCTGTCCTGTGTCCTTCGCGTTCCTCGTTAAGCAGAAGAAGTCAGTAGTTTTTCTCCCATGAACGTTCTTGTCTGTGTACAGTTTTTAGAACATTACAACGGATCTGTTTGCTTAGCTGTCAACAAAAGGAAAACCTGAGGGAGCATTCCGAAGTCAACTCGAGGTCATTTTCTCCTTTTCTATGTTGGAACGTGCCCCGGATGAGGCAGTTGGCAAACTTCTCAGGACAATGAACCCTTCCCGTTTTTCTTTTTATGCCACACAGTGCATTGTTTTTTCTACCTGCTTGTCTTATTTTTAGAATAATTTAGAAAAACAAAACAAAGGCTGTTTTTCCTAATTTTGGCATGAACCCCCCTTGTTCCAAATGAAGACGGCATCACAAAGCAGCTCCAGGAGGAGAAGCTTGGGCGGTGCCCGGCACGCCCGCTGCCCGTCGACGTCTGTCCTGGGGCCGTGGGGGGTGGCAGCGTCCCGCCTGCACCGGTGCCGTCCTGCTGATGTGGTAGGCTAGCAATATTTTGGTTAAAATCATGTTTGTGACTGTAACCATTTGTATGAATTATTTTAAAGAAATAAAAATCCCGGAAAGAGCCCGCGTGCCTAGCGTCTGTTCTAGTGACGGTCTCACGAGGACACGGGTTAGCCTCAGTCCCGGCTATGGTGACCTCCAGGGCCCAGCTCAGCCTCTCTGAAGTGGGAAGCCCAAGAGAGACCCAGAGACAGTGACGTGGCAGGTCGGGCAGTGGCCTCTGCCCGCTTCATCTGTGGGACACTGTAGGGTCGTGGCTTGGAGGCGGCCTCCCTGTGGGAGGGGAGCATTGTGCCAGGCCGGGCCGTTGTGTTGATGATGGTCTGACTGGCTGAGGTCTGCCCCACGGCCCACCGCCTCCCTTCTCGGCAGACCTCCCTCAGGCCGGCCTACAACCTGGGAAGACTGTGGGCCACAGAAGGAGGGAAAGCAGACGTCAGGGCCAAGGAAGCTGCCCGGTCCACGGGTCATCCAGCCTACAGAAATGTGCCAAAAAGCCGAAAGGGGTCACTCCTCACCTTGGCCCACAGCCGAACCTCTTCGAAATCCCAGCCTGCTGGTTCCTCAGAGTTTCCTTTGGAAGTGTGGTCCATGCATGTCAGCAGAATCCCAGCTCATTTTTGAGATGAACTCTGATACCAGTCACCCCGGAGGAGTGCTTCCAGGCAGACTCCTGCAGGTGGGTCCAGGTAGTGCAAGGAGGGGCTGCAGCGGGTACTGGGGGAACCTGGGTCCCTTTGGGACGTCCATGGTCTGAGCCTTTCCCTGAATGCAGGTGGGTTCTCCTGCCAGCCCAAGCATCCAGACCCTGCAGCGTCAGCCCTCAAGTTTCAGCCTCCCCCTGCTCCCCGCCCCATCTAAAGCAGAAGCAGTGGGGAGGCCACTGCCTTTGGTGGGGGTGCCCCCTCCTACCTGGCTCTGAACCCTGGGGCCCGCAGAGGTCTCTTGGGTATGGGCAGTGGTTCCCGGTCTCAAGGCCCACGGAGGGCCTTGCCTCACTGACCGAGGCCTCTGCCTCCTTCCCCTCAGCAGAAGACACCCAGCCCATCTCTGACCTGCGTGGAGCCCCTCATCCTGGAGCCCTTGGACCACTGAGGGAGGTCGCCTGGGCTGATGGGAAGGGTGGGTTCTGGACACGGTTAAAGAGCTGGCCCTGGTTTAGCCAACAAGGGTCTGGGGTGCTGGCTGGAGCCGACGTTTTCTGATATCATTGGTGGGGACTGCAGAGGCGGCGGTGGGAAGACCAGGAGTTCCACGCTGACTGCGGGCTTGAGCCTCTGCACAGGCAAGCCCTGGGCTGGGTCACCGGGCCCTGGTCAGCCCCCAGGGCAGCCGAGGGTGGGGCCGCCCTCCCAGCTTCAACTGGAGACAGGCCACTCCCTGAGAGGCAGCCAGGCACCGGCAATGCGGACTGGATGCAGGCCCGGAGACTCCCACTCAGCTGGCCTCAGTGTTTCCAAGTCAAAGGGTCGGTTTTCCCTGCAGGAAGGGAACGCCGCCAAGGGCTGTCCGCGGTGTGAGGCTGGCGGCCAGGGAGCCAGGACGCTGAAGTGTGGCTCTGAGTCTGGGGTGTACGGGACAGAAAACAGTCAGAAAAATGTCTGGAGTCTCAAAACGAACCTCCCCTTGGTGCCACCTCCGGGAGTCATCCTGCCCCAGCCAGGCCCCAAGAGGGGTGCGGGTAGCAGAAGGTGGGTGGGGGGGCCTCAGCCTCGGTTTCCTCGCCGGTGAAATGGGCAGCCCGGCTCATCTCCCTGGAGGCTGGTATTAGACTGGAGATTGTGCCAAAGCCCGAAGCCAAGAACGTGAAATAAGGTTTGCCTGTTGGAAGGGAAGAGATAAGCCGCCGGTGTTGGCTGACAAGCATCTGATCCTAGAAAATCAGCCAAAGCCTGCAGCTAATCCTGGGACTGGCCAGGTGGCCTCACAGGAGCACCTGTGGTGCCTGCCAGCTGTCCTGCCCACCCGGGGCAGAAACGCAAACAGAAACAAAGGTGCCGACAGCGGGTGCCTGCGACGGGATGCGTCCTGCTTGTCCTCACGGTGCAGGGGCTGGCCCGCTAGCCCGATTCCGCAGCGAGCACAGTGGCCAGAACCTGGTCCCAGCCGCCAGCACCCGGTGGGTAAAGACCGTGGGAGTGACGGGGGCCGCCAACCTCCGGTGAACGGTGAGGCCGTCAGATGAGACAGGCTGTGCTTGTGGGACGGGCTGTTAACGTCACAAAATACTGCGCTTTAAATACGTTTTCCAAGTGCTGTAGCCCTCATCCCCTTCCCAGGCAAGACTTCCGCGCTTACGTTGAACAAATACAACAGTTTTATCCCCAGTTTATATGGAGCAACAAAGGTCTATGAATCTGGGCTTGTGCCACTCAGGGGTATTAAAAAGGGGACAACTACAGCATCCTCCTGGTTCCGACACGGAGGGCTTTGGGGTGGCGGGTGGTGGGGCCCGCTGGCTTGGTGTACCTCTATGTGTAGGTGCATGTGTATCTGGTGGGCAGGTGTGTGCTTCTGCGTGTGAACTGGAGATGTGATCGAGGGCACAGGTCCCAGGCCCTCATGGGTGAAACAAGAGCCCTGGTATGCCAACCATGGAGGCATGGGCGGCCCCTGAACGCAGACAGCAGAGGCACAAACCATGAAGCAGAGGACATTGCCTTCGTGCATTCACACCTTGCCGAGTCCATTCAAGACAGGTCTGCAGAAAGGGCTGAGAACAGGTGGCAGGGCACACCCTCCAGGTGAGCAAGGGCCCTGCTGGGAACCCTGGAGCAGGAGGAGGCCGTGATTCTCAGGCCTGGCGTAGGGCTCTGGGGCAGGAGAGGTGGAGCCGGGGAGGGTCAGGCAGCAGCCGCCCCAGCTCCTCGGAGCTACCGCGCCTTGGTGGAGAACTCTCCTTTGGCTGTTGACAAACACCTGGGCTCTGGCCTCCCTAGACCTCTGCCCAGGCACGGGAGCAAGGGGAGACTGCAGGCAGCTCCGGGGACCTGGACAGGAAGTTGGGAGGATCAGGACAGTTCTTTTGGGTGGCCCAAGCAGGGCACAGGATGGGGAGCCAGGCTTTTTGGGATCCCCACCCCCTCCTGCCTCCTCTCCCCACTGTGGGCCCAGAACTGACCCCGAGGTGGCCGGGAAGCACCTACCACCCCCACCCCTAGCTGCTCTCAGCCAGAGCCCAGCTGGACTTGCAGGATGGATTTTCCAGCAAAAAACAACAGCAGAGAAGCCCGAGAGGCTTCACAAGCCCTGCCAGGCCTCCCCCTGCTGCTGGCACTCCCTGCAGAAGGAAAACCATCTGGCTACTGGGCCCTGAGCCCAGCGCCCGGAGGAGGACCTCGGCCCAGCTGAGCAGCTCTGCTCCCCAGGCTGGCCCCGGGCCTCTACCCGCCTGGCCCGCTCCCCTCGGCATCGAGCCCCGGCAGGGACAGGGTGGCCCGGCCAGGGTGTGGCCCAAGTCGGTGTCCCCTGGCCCCATCTGAGCACCAGTACTGCTGAGTCTACCTCTGCTCCCCCAAGCCCCTGACCACTCCCCTGGACAGCCTCGACCGCCCCTGGCCCGACCCTCAAACAGCAGCCAAGGGCTTGCCACGCAGGGTCTGCACACATCCCTGAGAGGGAGGTTACGCTACTTGAACAAGATCAAGGAGAGGCAGCTGGACCCTCCCTGCATCTGAATCGCGGGGCATGGGTGCGCCGGCTCCTCCAGGGCGGCCTATTGCTGCCCTTTCTTTTTAAACCAGCTGCTGACTCCGTTGCCACGCACTCCCCAGGTCCTTGACACAAGCTGGCTCCAGCAGGGGGCGGGGGCCACTCTGGAGGACGCTGGGGCCAGCCAGGACTGTGGATGCTGGTGGGACAGAGGGTGGCGAGGAGCCAGACTCACCCACGGCACTCCTAGCCCCTGCAGGTGTCTGAAGCTCCAGCCTCCCCCACTCTGTGCAGTGGGTAGTCACACATCGCAGGGCCCAGCTGCTTACCCAGAGAGTAGGTTCTGAGCAGCAGCCTGGGGTCCCAGGCCAGCCTCTGCCCAGCCTCCCCGGCACTGCCCCTGCACCTGCCCACGCCAACCCCAGCCCCTTCCACCTGCCCCCTACCCACCCTGTACCTGCTCACACCTAACCCTATCCATCCCCACCTGGCCCCATCCACCTCCACCCACCTCCAACCGCCCACACCTGCCCCACGACCCGCACTGCCTCTTCTGCTCTCCCCATCACCCCCACCTCCCATGTGCTCCCACATGTCCCCTCACCTGCTCACACCTGTCTGCCCCTCACCTGTCCACTTGTGGTCAGTCATGTGCTATACACCCACCCCACACCTGGGGTTCACCTGGGGCTGGGGTTTGCTCTTTGCTCCTGGCTGGATGCCCTGGCTCTTCTGCCCCCTGAGGGGGACCTCCCAGGGCAAGCCGCCTCCCCACCAGAAGCCTCAGGCCCTGCCTCCCCTCTCCACCTGCAGAGCTGAGCCCGAAGAGGTTCCTTCTATTCCAAGAGCCCCACTCGGCCTGCTGGGTCCCCATGCCCTGAGGAGCTGCTGCTCTTGCTGGGCACCCCGGCCCACCCACAGGGGACCACATCTGTCCTGGAGGAGGCATTTGCTGTGGGTCCCTGCCCCGGGACCTCCAGGTCACTCCCTCTTCTCATCCGTCACAGCGGGGCCCTCCCTCTGGCCCCAAACTCTGGGCTGCTGGCCTCCCCCTGCTCTAGCAGAGCCGTGGCGAGGAGAGGAGAGGCCAAGGACTCAGCCTAAGCCCACAGTCAGACCAGGGGAGCCGGGAGCTGCAGGGGGGCGAGTGACTGAGTAGCACTCACAGCCCCTGGTCAGGGCCCTCTCCAGTCTGGTGTGCCCTGAGACACGGCTCCTGTTGGGGGCACGCAGGGACTCAGGAGGAGCAGTGAGGGGCATCCTCCTGCTCATGGCCCCAGGTTGACCTTGGGTAGGGCGGGGTCACCCTGACAGCTCCCAGCCCAGTGCCGGGGGAGGAGTCCAGGCAGGAGAAGCCCACCCTGGACATGCAAACCCAACACTGGGTGTGGCCTCTCCCCAAAAACTCCGCTTCCCCACCCCCCAACCCCCTGGTCAGGGTGGGGAGCCTGGAGGGAGACAGAGGCCAGGAGGCAGCCAGGAGAGCTGGAGGAGGGCATCAGGGATAGAGAGTGGCTTCCTGTGGCCTCAACCCCCAGGCCCAAGCGATGAGGCCTCAGGGGCCCCTCCTGGACCTTCCTGCCCATCCAAGCTGAGGGTCCTGGTTTGTTGGCCGAGGCCCCCTGCAAGGCTTCTGAGGTGAGAGGTGAGAGGGGCCCCTGGTGGGGCCTGGGCGGGTGCTTGCGAGTGGGGCATCTGAGTGAAGGAGCCCGGGAGGGCCTGGAGGGCCTGGGGCCATGGAGACACCAGCATCTCCCTTGATCAACACCAAACGACAGCCCCAGGCCCCCACCCTCCCTGAGGCTGCCACAGGCACTGCTGGCAGAAGCCTCAGATGCTTGGGCTGGCAGAGGGGAGGGCCAGGCAGCTCTGATGGGGCCTCTGGGGACAGGGATGTGGAGGGCCAGGATTCTCAGTTTTAACCCTGAATTCTAGCACCCCTGCAGGCCCCCTGGGTGCTGGGCATGGCTCTCCCTGGACAAAGCCCACAGCTCCGTGGGTGCCAGCAGCAGTTCTGGTAAAAACGTGGACGTGGACACCAGGGGGTAGGTATTGTACCAGATGCAGCTTCTCCGAGGAGGTCCCCTGTGCCCAGCGTGAGCAATGGGGCTCAGCCAGCGCCACCTCCTGTGCCCAGGAGCCCTGGACATGGTCTCTTCCCCAGAACCTCAGCCAGGCGCTGTCTCCACCCATGGCCAGTTCCTCTCCATGCACCCCAGGGTCCTGCCCTATTCACAGTTCAGGCAGCATGATGGGAGGGCATGGGCAGGGCCTGGGGAGGGGACAGCTGGGTCTTCTGACTCAACCACAGGGACAGGCCAGGCCTCACAGCCAAGCACCCCGGAGGAGCTGGGGAGCTGGGCACATGCAGCTGGAGAGAGGCTGCACCCAGCACGCTGCTGTGACTCCACACGGACCTCAGAAATGGATCTGAAGATGGAGGTGAACTTACGACGGCAGCTGTGCACAGCACTCACAGTCATGACTCAGCGCTGCCAGATTCCAGCACTCACAATCAGGACTCAGCGCTGCCAGATTCCAGCACTCACAATCAGGACTCAGCGCTGTCAGATTCCAGCACTCACAGTCAGGACTCAGCACTGTCAGATTCCAGCACTCACAGTCAGGACTCAGCGCTGTCAGATTCCCGCAGTCACAGTCAGGAGGGACGAGGAAGAAAGAAAAGGCACCATTTTCAACAGCAACGAAAAGTGTGTACTTCTAGGAGCAAACGGGGGGCAGATCTGTACCCACTAGAGAGGGCCTGAGGCCTGACTGAGGCTGGTCTGTCCCGGGCGGCACGAGGCAGCGTCCCCTGCCCTGGCCGGCGGCCACGACGGGGAAATGAAAACACCAGAGACCCTGGAACCAGGTAGATTGACTGTGAAGTTAGTGTGGAAAAGTAAGAAAACGAAGGAAATTCTGGAACAAAACAGCAGCAGGAGAACCGTGGCCCCAGGTTTTAACACACACCTGGAGGCTGCCGCTGCGCAGCCCGTGTGGGGCCGGCGTGTGCATTGGTCACGGTAAAACACGATGGCACTACAGACACGCTAAAGGGGACGTCGCGAATCCGTGAGGGACTGCGGCCCAATAAACAGTGTGAAGCCTCCTCCCAGGTCTGTGTCCTGCAGTCAGTGCCGTCTAACGTTTTAGGGACCCCGAGGTTGTGGGGTCACACAGCAGCATTTCTCTGCATTTCTGGCCAGTGACTGTGTGTCAGCTCCAGGGTGAGGCAGTGAAGACCCGACGTGCTTAAGAACTCTTACAGGTCAGCAATAAAGAGATAAACAGCCGCGTTTGAAAATGGGCAAAGGATCTGAATAGATGTTTTTTCAACTCAGGTAGACACCAGCCAGAAAGCTCAGGACAAGGTGCGTAACACTGTGAGCCACCAGGAAATGCAAATCAAAGCCACACGAGGCCCCACCTCACACCCACTGGGCTGTCTGGAGCCAGGCGCATCAGCAGCGCGAGGGCAGAGATGTGGGAACCTCACGTGCGGCAGCGGGAGACGCTGCGACCGTTCTGTTCTTCAAAGTGTGAAGTCGAATTTCCACATGGCCCAGCAATCCCACGCCTGGGGACACGTCCCTGAGAATCAGAAACACGTGTCCACACAAAAACTCATCCACAAATGTTCCTGGTAGCATTATCTGCAATAGTCCCAAAGTGGACCCAGCTGTGTGTCTGTCGGCTCATGGGCAGATGGACACACTATGGCCTGGCCCCATGATACCACTCACCTGTAGCTCTGGCCCCCGCTCCAAAGCAGATGAACCCCGAAAACATTTGCTAAGTGGAAGAGGTCAGACGCGGACTGCCACAGATCACGAGACCACTTATGTCAAATGTCTGGAATGGGCAGGTGCATGGCGACACTGTGTAGGCTCCCGGCTGCCGGGGGCTGGGGGAGAGGGTACAGCTGGGAGAAAACGGGAGGCGTCTTAGTCCATCCCTGCTGCTATAACCAGACGCCTCAGCCTGGGTGATTTATAAGCAACAGAAATGTATGTCCTGCAGTTCTCAAGCTGGGAAGTCCGAGACCCAGGCGCGGGCAGGCCGGGGTCTGCCGAGGGCAGCTCCGAGGGTGATCCAGCCTCACATGCAGAACCTGGAGGGAAAGCAGCCCAGCTAGTTCCTTCCAACCCTTTTATGAGGGCCCTGAGGGCAGCAGCATTGTAGGGTGGGCCCCTGAGGCACCGCTGGGACCAAAGCGCTCCCCAAATCCTGGCCCAGCCCTCCTTGGCCGCCCCGGCCGTGGTCAGGCAGGCGTGGGTGCAGCCCCACCCATTGCTCCTGAGGGCGAATGTGGTGGGCCTTGGCGGCATCCACACGGCACTGACCCTGCAGGCCACGGTGGCCTCCACCCAGATTTCAAAGTGTGTTACTGACCACCTTGGGGCCCAGGCAGAGACTCATCGTGGGGGCGGAGCTGCCTTGGAGTCCCCACCCGGGCAATGCCCAGTGGAGCCGAGGCAGGGGCTGCCTCCAAGGCCCCAGGACTTCAGGCCACCAACGAGCAACCGCAGCCCGGGAGAGCTGCAGGCAGGAGAGTCTGACCCACGAGTGCTGCACGGGCTGAGCCCAGAGAAGCCATGGGGGCCCAGCCCTGCCCCTCGTGGCTGCAAGGTGGGCACGGATTCCAAGATCATCCCCAAGCCTGAGTGTCACTCTGCCTGCCCTGCCACGTTTGGACTTACCCGGGCTTGCTCTTCTCTTTTCTTGCCTATTTCTCCCTTTTGGAATAGAAATATTTGTCGTGAACCTGCCCCACTGCATTTGGGAAGCACATAACCTGCTTGATTTCAGGGGCTCACAGCTGCAGGGGAGCCTGCCTTCCAACGGCTTGTGCCTGGAGGCTCGCCCCCTCTGAAGCAGATGAGGCTCGGAGCTTCAGAGCTGTGAGCTGGTGCTTGGATGAGTTAAGACTCTGGGGCAGTTGGGATGGAATGAATGTGTTTTTTGATGTTTAACACTGAGTGTCACCTTGACTGGAGTGAAGGGTGCAAAGCACTGATCCTGGGTGTGTCTGTGAGGGCGCTGCCACAGGAGAGTGCCATCTCAGTCAGTGGACTGGGAGAGGCAGACCCACCCTCCATCTGGGTGGGCACCGTCTCATCAGCTGCCAGCGCGGCCAGGGTAGAGCAGGCAGAGGAACGTGGAAGGACCGGACTGGCTGAGTCTCCCAGCCTCTGTCTTTCTCCCGTGCGGGATGCTTCCTGCTCTCCGACCTCGGACTCCAAGTTCCTCAGCTGTGGGGCTCTTGGACTCACACCGGTGGTTTGTCAGCTTCGGCCACAGACACAGCTGCGCTGTCGGCGTCCCTGCTGTTGACGTTTTGGGTCTCGGGCGGCTTCCTGGCGCCTCAGCTCGTAGACGGCGTATCCTGGGACCTCACCTTGTGATCGTGTGAGTCAGTTCTCCTCAGAAACCCCCTTCACAGATGCGTCTATCCTATTCGTCCTGTCCCTCTAGAGAACGCTGACTCGTAGGATTTTGCGAGAAGGGTGAGATCTGGGCAGGCGTGCAGTGCCACGCGTGGAATGCTGCATCCTCGGCAGCTCACGCCGAAACTTAGACCCCCTGCAGCCGGGCCGGGAGGTGGGGCCTGATGGGGGGTATCTGATCCACTCACGAGGCAGAGCCCTCATGACTAAAGCCACTTTGAAAAGGGCTCGTGGGGCAGGCCCACCCTCCAGCCGTGTGAGCAGGCAGCATACGAGGGGCCGACGTGGCCCTGCCGGCACCTTGGCCTCCGGACCGAGAGGCAGGAAGTCTCTGCTGATAAGCGGCTGCCTGGTTTCTGCTGTGGCCGCACTCCAACCACGGCAGGGGGCTGCTGCTCACAGGCACAGGACGTCTTCTGCGGGTGATGAGCGTGTCCCGGAATGAGATTAGTGGGACGGTCCCACAGCTTCTGGAATATATGAAGAACCACTGTATGGTGCACTCTTAAGGGTGGCTTGTGTGCATGTGAACTACATCTCAGTGAGGCTGTTTTTCAGGAATCGGGGGAGCCGCTTCGGAGGCCATGCCTCGAGAAGGCAGCACCGGAAAACCAGAAGCTGCACAGGGTCCCCCGTGCGGCGGGTGCTGCTGGGACGTGGACAGGGTGAAGGCAGTCTTCTGTGTGGTCACGTGCGTGTGCTGGTGCCTTCTCTCTCAGGGCCTCCTCCCTCCCTGCGTGGTTTGGGGTCTCTTCCTGAAAGCACAGATGCCCTGGTCACGAACACCTGTCTGCGTTGCTGGCCACAGGCCCAGCCTGGAGAAACCCACACCCTCTTCAGAGAGGCGAGCTCTGGGCTTGGCAGTGCCTGAAGCCGGTGGGCTGGGAACTCACAGCAGGGACACTCAGAGCGGGCAGGGTGGGCACAGGGCCCCAGCATGGCAAGAGGCGAGTCTACCCCGGCTTTGTCACGGACCACATCCCATGGGGAAAGAAGCTGTGGGGGATGGGGCATCTGTATTTGGCCTGCAGGGAATCTGGGCCCCTCTGGCTGTGGGTGGCCGGGGAGGGCCGCATGGGCAGTCTGCACCGAAGGCCCCCCAGGCCAACCTGGTCAGGGTGGGAGGGGGAAGGGGCAGGAAGCCTCAGCCCAGACCAGGTATGGTGTGAACAGCCCACATGGGAGGGGCTGGAACCATCCAGAAGGCCTCAGCATACGGGTCTGCTGCAGCAGAGCCAGGAGGGCATGGGAGGCACAGGTCCAGGGCAAAGGCACCACGTGGGGCTCAGCCAGTGGTCGGGCTCATGCCTGGTTGGTGGCACTGAGGACCCCGCAGCCTTGGCCCCCCTCTCCAGGAGCTGATTTCCTCCACATGGTCACAGGAAAGGCAGGCACCAGAGGGGCCAGAGGTGTGGGGGGGCTGTACCCCACCCTCTCCTCACTGCTGGTCTCCCCCTTACCACCCTGTCCAGTGATGTCCACGCAGATGGGAGGTTGTGAGGGGTGTCCACACCTGACCTGCTGCGGCCACCCAGCTTCCTGCTAGGGAGACGGAGCCGGTGCTGATGGGGAACAGCTGTTGTGGGGGCAGCCAGGAAACCACGTTCCCGTGGGCTGAGCTCATAGTTTACGTGTTTCCCGCCAGATCCATAACGTCCTGGAGGCAGAAATGCAGAGGTCACCCCCGTCCCCGCCCCCGCCCAGCCTCCCCTGCTCTGACACCAGGGCCACTCAGCCATCCTTGCCCTGCCCGCACCCCTTGTCCTGACGCCCCCTCCTCCCTCCACTCGCTCCCCATCATTGACTCCCTGGCCCCCGACCCACGCTGCTCATCCCTGAAGCTTCTCTAGGTCCTGGACTCCATTCTGCGGGCTGGACGCCTTCTGCAGTGTCCGTTGCGCCCACCCAGCCTCTGGGGATGTTGAGTGAGGGGTGACCCAGGAAGAACACATCGGAGACAGTGGACAGGGAGGCGTTTCTCACCCCTTCACTCACAGCAGCCCCGCCAGGCAGGCACAACCATCACCCCAGCCACAGATGCGGAGAGCGAGGCAAGCAGACGCCACGTGGCCATCTGTCTGGTAACTGGCGGCCGGGATTGGAGCCTGGGTCCAAGCTTCCTGCTCTTTCTCTCCTGGGCCGTGCGCTGTTTCTCCTGGAGTGTCTGCAGGCAATTTCATGGAACCCGGAGGCTGGGCTTCAGGCTGGTCCCTCTCCCAGCTGGAGCCCTCGGGCCCTGCTTCCTATCACACCCACCCCCACCTCTCTCCCCAAATTGTCGGTGGCTTCTGTCACCTGGAGACACTGTTCCTGTCATCGCCCCTTCTCCTTCGATGACGTTGCCCTGTCCCTGCCACGGTGAGACCAGATTCCATCCAGGCCAGGCCCTGACCAAGGGCTAACCACGGAACACATGTAGCAACAGGTGGTCTTGGAAAACACGGCTTCTCCTCTCCTGCTCCTACCCCGGCCCTAGCCCCTCCTGTCGGCTGGACATGGGCATTTCTGCACCCAGTGGAACCCCACAGCCAGGAAGAACTGCCTGGAAGACTGAAGGAGAGGCGTGATGTGGAGACCCACAGGTGGCAGGTGACAGAACAGCCCACCTAGCTGTTCTCAGCCACCATGTGGGAGAGAAACGATGCCTCCACTGAGCTCCCGATGGCCTGAGCTGCTCCTTAGAGCATCCTGACCTTCACCCTGGCAAATGGAATGTTTTGACTTTTTTTTTTTTTTTGAGATGAAGTCTCATTCTGTGTGTCACCAGGCTGGAGTGCAGTGGTGCAATCTCAGCTCACTGCAAGCTCCACCTCTCAGGTTCGAGAGATTCTGCTGCCTCAGCCTCCTGAGTAGCTGGGACTACAGGCGCGCACCACCATGCCCAGCTAACTTTTTATACTTTTAGTAGAGATGAGGTTTCACCATGTTGGCTGGGATGGTCTCGATCTCTTGACCTCGTGATCCACCCACCTTGGCCTCCCAAAGTGCTGGGATTACAGGCGTGAGCCACCACACCTGGCCCATGACTCTTTTTAAAAAATATTTCAGGTGATTATTGCTGGAGGAGTGTGAAGTTACTGCTTTTTGTATATTCATCTTGTATTACATTTTTAATTGATTTTTAAATTTTAATTTTATCTTTTTTTTGAGATGGAGTTTCACTCTTGTTACCTAGGCTGGAGCGCAGTGGCACAACGTCGGCTCACCGCGACCTCTGCACACAGGTTCAAGTGATTCCCATGCCTCAGTCCCCTGAGAGTTGGGGTTACAGGCATGCACCGCCACGCCTGGCTAATTTTGTGTTTTTAGTAGAGAGAGGGGTTAACTATGTCGGCTGGTCTTGAAATCCTGACCTCAGGTAATCTGCCCACCTTGGCCTCCCAAAGTGCTGGGATTACAGGCAGGAGCCACTATCGGGGGAGATCCCATAAGCACTGAGGCAGGAACAAAAGGCCTCAGCCTATTTCCATATAAATAATGAAGAAGAAAGTAATTAGAAATATAACCCGAGTACTTATTAGTTACTCACGTGTGATCTTAATCCCTTCACTAAAGCCTCTCAGGTCGGAAGTGTGAACCTGGGGTGACACTGTGAAATGAATGACACTAAGGTAGGATGCTCGAAGCCCTCTGTGACGCCCGCGTAAGGGCTGCTGGAGGGCGCCTCGGCTGTGTGCAGCACCCGCTCTGGGAAAGCGCCCGCCATTTAGCCAGCTAGGGAAGGAGACGTCCAAAATGGCGAGATGTCTCCTTCCTGGGGAAGTTTGGAGAAAACTCCGCTTCTCCAAGCTCTCGTGGTGAGGCCTGATGGCTGTCAGGGAGGCCCGCAGACATCCGGGGGCTTAGCTGTCCCTGTGGGATGCTGGGCTTCAGCGGTCACGTTCCACGTCCACGCTCCTGTTCTGCTTCTGCACCTGGTTCCTTTTCTCTTAGAAGAGATCATCAGTAATAGTAACATATATCTCAATGTACTGGTTCTTTCTCCGTAAGATGGAAAAGGTACTGATGCTCCTTGCCTCCCTGCGGGTGCCAGAAATTCCTGCGCCCCACCCGAATGGCACGTGACGTGTCTGACCCTGTCACTGCCACACCCCATCCACCCTTCCCCCAGTCCCCGACACGCCAGGCCTGATTTATAATTTTTAAATGGGGGTGCAGACGCATCGCTAGGCTTACCATCAGGTCATTGACAAAAGCGTCTTATTTTTTCTGATGTTTGTGGCATTTGTTTGGTTTTCTTACTAATTTTGCCGGAACCTCTGAGAAGATGCTGGACCATCACGACAGCAGCAGGGCCCGTGAGCCAGCCGTGTATTTGTGACACTCGTGTTTCCAGCGTAGAGCGATCTTGGCCACTGTCGTGTGAGGAGACGTTGGCACTTTTTTCCTTTAATACAAATCGTGCTTTTATTCATGACGATTGCTGAAGGTGCTCGATCTTCTTTTCAGTACCTGTTGGTGGGGTTCTCTGAATTTTCTGTGCTAACTGCTTAATGAACTGACTTCTCTGATGGCCGGGCTGCCCTCGTAAGCCTGGCCCTCATCCACTTGGCCATAATGTGGTGCCTCTGATGTTGCGCTGGGTCCTACTTGCTGCTCTCTTAGATTTTTTTGCATTTTCTTTCTTTTTTTTTTTTTTTAAGATCGAGTTTCGCTCTTGTCACCCAGGCTGGAGTGCAATGGCACGATCTCGGCTCACCGCGACCTCCGCCTCCTGGGTTCAGGCAATTCTCCTGCCTCAGCCTCCTGAGTAGCTGGGATTACAGGCACGCGCCACCATGCCCGGCTAATTTTTTGTATTTTTAGTAGAGACGGGGTTTCACCATGTTGACCAGGATGGTCTCGATCTCTTGACCTCGTGATCCACCTGCCTCGGCCTCCCAAAGTGCTGGGATTACAGGCGTGAGCCACTGCGCCTGGCCCAGATCTTTTTGTATCTTCTAAAAGTGGTATTTGTCTGTGGCTTTCTCTTTTTGCTCTACACCAGGGTTTTGAATTAAGCTATCCTGGTTCCGTGAGACGCATTGCAATTTTCCATCCTTTCATGCCTTGGGAAGGTTAGAATAACCGTGGGATGACTTTTCTTCCATGGGAAGTGAGGTCATCGTCAGCTGCGGACATCTGCTCCCAGTGCCCTCCTTTCCTGGTTCAGCTCTCCCCACTGCAGCACCACGAGCTCCTCTCGTGGTGCCGCTGGTCTGAAGTCATTCTGGCACTTTGCACCCACGAGAACGTCACCCGTGGCTTCAGGTTTCCAAACAGCTGCCCCGGCTGAGCAGGCTGCAGGCTCATCATTCTCCCAGTCCCTTCCATACTTGGGTCTCCTTTTTCCTAATCCTTTGTTGGTTTTTTTATTCAATGTACACAAATTCTGAACAGAGGCACTTATTTATTTATGTGTTTACTTGAGACAGAGTCTCAGTTTATCACCCAGGCTGGAGTGCGGTGGTGCGATCTCAGCTCACTGCAGCCTCCACCTCCCAGGTTCAAGCAATTCTCCTGCCTCAGCCTCCCGAGTAGCTGGGATTACAGGCGCCCACCACACCCAGCTAATTTTTGTACTTTTGTAAAGACAGGGTTTCACCATGTTGTTGCGTGGGCTGATCTCCAACTGCTGGCCTCAAGTGATTTGCCCGCCTCAGCCTCCCAAAGTGCTGGCATTACAGGCATGAGCCACCGCGCCCGGGTCAGTCATTACTTGATGCAGCTTCTGGGCTGGGCACGGGGATTTTCTTTCTTTCAGAAAAACAATCACTTCTCCTTCTTACTTGTTTTCTACCTCATTCATTTCTGGCTTTATCTTCATAATTCTCCCTACTTTTTTTAATTATTATTTTTTGAGACACAGTTTCGCTCTTGTTGCCCAGGATGGAGTGCAATGGCCCTATCTCGGCTCACTGAAACCTCTGCCTCCCGGGTTCAAGGGAATCTCCAGCCTCAGCCTCCCGAGTAGCTGGCATTACAGGTATGTGCCACCATGCCCGGCTAATTTTGTATCTTTAGTAGAGACAGGTCAGGCTGGTCTCGAACTCCTGACCTCAGGTGATCCACCCACCTAAGCCTCCCAAAGCGCTTGGATTACAGGTGTGAGCCACCGTGCCTGGAATTTCTCCCTACTTTTTAAAATCCACTTTTCTTGTTCTCGTTCTGCTTTCCTAAGGTGGCACAAAGTCCCTCAGGTTTATTTTTTCCTCTAAAAAATAAGTGTGCTGGGGGCTCTGGGGGCTCTGGACAGAGTTAGCTGAGCCCTCAGCACTGGATCAGTATTTACGGTTCCTCGGCTTTTCGGAGGGCGCACCTTCAGGTTTGATCTCCTGTTTCGCCTGAGGGCTACCTGGGAGTGTGATGGTTTCTAAGTTTCGGGGGAAGAGGTGGCGCTTTCCGCTATTTATTTTATCCTATTTGCATAATAGGATCATTTTAATTAATCTACTTTTAGTTCCTTGAGGTTTTCTTTGCAGTCAATACACAACACACAAGGGCTTATCGGGAGTTTTCCCTCGAGGGGCGTTTGAAGTCCTGTTTTCCCGTGGGGGATGTGAGCACCACCATCCGTCTGGATCTGTCTGCGTTTGCCACTAGACCTAATCACGGAGAGAGACACAGAGGGAGCTCCTGCGACGCGAGTCCCCTCTTTGCGCCCCCTTCCAGTTGGCTTCGGAGCTGAGCTCCCATGTTGTTTGGTCCCTGAGGTTTATGTCTTTTATCTGGGTCATCGCCAGCCACACTGACCCCCCACTGTGCCCACCCGCACAGGCTGACATCACAGGCCCTGCTCAGCCCCGCTTCCTCTCCCCCTTGGCCTCACCTTGATGTCAGCGGGGTGCCCTCTGCTCTGACTCGTGTGCGGTGGCTGGCTTCCTTCCGGCACTTTCTCTGGATAACCCATATGGATGACATATCTTCTGACGTCTGCTGTTACGCTTACCGGTGGCATTTCTGGGCTGGTGTAGGATGCCTGGGATGGAGCGGTCTCTCTGGTGATTGTGGATGACGTTTCACCGTCCCCTGCTTCTGGTGGCACAGATGAGAGCTCCAGGCCCCGCGCGCTCTCTGCTGGCTCACACATCTTCCCGCTGTGCTGGCTGCACACCTACCCATAGGGTTTCCGAGGGAGAGGAGACAGGCAGAGACCCAAGTGGGGTGCCTTGGGGGTGCCTGGCAGGCGGGCAGCAACCCTGGTCACAGCAGTGGCCTCTGCTCTGCTTCTCAGCGGCGCCTGGTCCGACCCCCGTGAACCAGGGTGTCAGTCAGCACAAGGCCACACCGCTCAGGTGTACTCTTCAGAGCTGCTTCCACGGCAGAGACCAGGTCCCCATGGAGCCACATGGCCCTTGGAGATTTGCAGACCCCTGTGCTGTCAGACGGAGGAAGCTGAGGCCCAGAGAGGAAAAGTCACCTTCTTGAGGATGCACAGCCATGAGTGAAGAAGCTGGGATTTCTCCTGGTCTCTCCGACCTTTGAACATGTGGCTTCTGGGTGTGCCCAGTAAGAGACGTTAAAGGCTGCGGTGGGCACCAGGCACCCTGACAACGTGCTTCCTTGTTCACAGAGGAGAAGGCAGAAGGCGTGCCGGGGGGTTGTCCTGGCCTGTGTGAGCTTTCCGCGGGGTGGAGGGTGCCAAGAACTACCTCATGAGCCTCAATTCTCACGTGAGACACGGGACCCCAACCCAGATCTCCATAGCAACGGTGAAGTTGCCGACTCAACAAGGCACGTGGCCAGCCATGGGGTTTATGCCCGCAATGCCAGAACTGTGGGAGAGCAAGCAAGGATGGCTCGAGGCCAGAAGTTCCAAAGTAGCGTGGGCAACACAGTGAGACCTCACTACAAAATAAAAAAATTAGCTGTGTGTGGCAGCGCACACCTGTAGGCCCACCTACTTGGGAGGGTGACGTGTGGGCATCCTGGGGCTTGGGGCATCCTGGGCTGGGGGGGTCCTAGGGCAGGGGCATCCCAGGGCTGGGGGCCACAACCGCCTCTGCCTGCTGACGGCCCTGGGGCTGTGACGGCGATTTTGCAGGGAGCCCACCCTCCAGCCCTGCTTGCTGAGGGCTACTGGGCTGCGGCAGTGCCTGCCCATGTGAGGCCCTGGATGCAGCCCCCACCCACCCAACCTCTGGAGCTGTGCCTGGAGCCTGGGGGATTCGGGTGTCACGGCACCCTCCAAGGGGCTGAGGGCTCAGGGAGGGTGCTGGGAGCTGGCAGGCCTCTGAGGGGCAGGGGGCCGCCGGGGCTGCCAAGCAGGGCCAGCGAGGGTCCAGGGGTCAGAGCCCGTTGCCTCTGGGGAGAAGTGGACGCAGGAGAGTGAAGTGGCTTCCTGTGCTGCCCGCCACACACCGGCAGGAGATGTGGGAGTGGGAGGGTGAACCATGGGCACCAGCCTCCGCCATCTCCAGAGGACAGCTGTGGGGCAGTGCCGGCGAGTGGCGGGCTCCGCCCCTGCACCCGGAGCAGAAGGTGGTGCGGGGATCAAGGGTGCCCTCACTGTGGCCCTGAGCCCGGAGCCGCAGGCCCGGAGTGCGGCCGCTGGCTGTGGGGGCGGGGTCGCTGGCTGTGGGGGCGGGGTCGCTGGCTGTGGGGGCGGGGCCGCTGGCTGTGGGGGCGGGGCCGATGGCTGTGGGGGCGGGGTCGCTGGCTGTGGGGGCGGGGCCGCTGGCTGTGGGGCGGGTCCCCTGGCTGCGGGGCGGTTACTGGCTGTGGGGCGGGGCCACAAGCTGTGAGCCGGCCGAGGGCTGTGGGGGCGGGCCAAAGGCTGTGAGGCGGGGCCGCGGGCTGTGGGGCGGGGCCGCGGGCTGTGGGGCGGGGCCGCGGGCTGTGGGGCGGGGCCGCGGGCTGTGGGGCGGGGCCGCGGGCTGTGGGGCGGGGCCTCTGCCAGGCAGTCCCCGCTGGGTGTTTTTCCTTCCCCTGACTCTGGCCCCGGGCCAGACGCACAGAAGCTGACCCACATTCCCCCTGCGCCGGCAGAAACTAGGCCACCAGCGAGGCTGGGGCCGGCTCAGACTTTCCAGGCTGGGAGCAGGTCCTGAGGGCCGGAGGGAGGGGGTATCTTCCTAGGGCCTCCGGCGCGGCTGGCCCAGAAAAGGGGCCGGAGCCCACCCGGGCCGGGAAGAAGCTGCGCGGGGCGAGCCTCCCTGTCCCCTGCAGCCTGCATTTCCAGGGCCGGGCGGCAGCAGGGAGGGGCCGGGGCCCCGCGTTGCCCGTTTCTTCCCACTCCCCCTGCAGGGTGCACCAGCTGCTCCCCCAGGCCCTCTAGATCGGAGCTGTCGCTCTTCCCCGGGGAGGGGGGGGCTGGTCACAGGCCTCCCACTCTGGGGCTCCGCTCCTTGAACCACCTCTGAAGTGGTCCCTCTATCGGGACCTGCCGGTCGAGCCCTCTGAGTTGGTCCTTTTTCCTGCCACCCTGACTGGGCCACCTCCCAACGACATGGCCTCCGCCGGACGGGTCCGGACACCTCGCTGAAGACCCTCGGAGGAGCCCATTCGCCGTCGTGGGCTGGGGGTGGAGGGAGGCCGGCTGGAGGGGGTCTCTCCCGACAGGCCCTGCCTGCTGGGCCCAAAGCCCAGCTGCAGTTCCCCTGAGACGCCCGGTGGGGGCTCTGGCAAGGCCACCTTCAAAGCTTGTGGCCACAGGGAAGGTGGGAACAGCTGCTGGGCCACAGGGCACCCCGCGGGTTCTATATACCCGCAGCCTTGTTCAAAGAAGAGGGGCAGGAAGCAGGGCCCACGCCACCCCCACGCCCCTCCCACCCCACGCCCCTCCCTGTGAGACCCGGGGGCTCTGTGAAGAGGCCAGGCCTGGCCTGCAGGGCTCCCTCAGGACAGATACCCAGCATGGGGAGGCACAGTGAGGGGCAGGGAACGTTGCACTCTCCAGCGCCCACTGAGTCCCGGAAATGACAAATACCCTCTTTCTGCAAGACCCATTAGCGTCCTCCAGATCAAAGGCAGGGTTACCCTCAGATGCAGACGTGTACGTGGCATGCGTGGGCACATGTGCTGTGTGTGTGCACCCATGTATAGGGTGTGTGTCTGGCATGGTGCACATGTGTCGGGGCCTGCGAACATATACAGGTGTGTACACACGTGTGGTATGCATGTGGGCCTGGTGGGTACTCAGGTGTCTCCATCCCATGCCCCATCCTGTGCCTGATGAGGTGGGAGTGGAGAAGGGACCTCAGCAGCCTCTGCACTGGACACTGAGCTCTGCCCCCTGCCTGGCACCACCTTCCACTTGGCCCTGCCTCTGAGGGCCCCTGGCGAGCCTCCCCTTGGCTGGTGGCATCTCCCTGGGCTGTGTGAGGGGCCAGGGCAAGTGCTTGCTGGGCTGCAGGAACAAAGGCTTCCAGCAGGATGGCCGTGCCCCCCGAGGCTTCCTAGAATCCAGGCAGCAAGCCTCTGTGTTAAGAGGCTAAGAAACAAGGAGACAGGCGCCTCTGGCTTCGCCTGAGCCATCCTCTGCTGCCCTGTGCCTAATGCCCATCCCAAAATGGCAACAGAGTTTAGCTACATCAAAGGGCTTGATGGGCATTTCAGAGACAGAGAGCAGGAAGCTCTAGTGGGAAAGAGAAAATGTGAAGTTTAAAGCATAAATCCCCGAATTCCAATTCGCTTTCCTTGGATCCACAGGCAACCTGGCCAGCCAGCATGGGGCTGCCAAGGCCGGCCCTGGGGCTGGCTCGGAGCTTGGACAGAGTCCCACACTCAGCAGAGCTGCTTGGCTGGCCTGCGGGTCATGGGGAAAGGGATTACTCTGTGCTAAAGCATGTGGGGCCATCTGGTGAGGTTGCCCCCATCCCACACTCTACAGAGGGAGAAACTGAGGCCTTGAGAGGGCATGGCTTATGCCAGACCACACAGCCATGGACGGGCCTGAACTGGAATCCTTGTCCCTTGACGCTGGTGCAGGCTTCGTCCGGCCCCTCCTTGCTGAGGAGGACAGATGAGAGGCACCCTCACAGCCTCTCACGGGTTGAGTCACTTCTACCCATCAGAGCCCTGGAAAGGGGGACCCGAGTGGTCTGCTGACACCAGCCTGGGCAAGGCTTGAAGGCCTGATGTGCAGGCCTGTGGGGAGGGCCTGGCTGTCCTGGGAGCCCTGTACCCAAATGCAGAATGACAGGAACTGGCCTCAAATCTTGGTAACTTGTGGGCGCCTTCTCTACCCTCCCTCCACACTCATCCAACCCCTGCCTTGCACACACGTGTGTGTGGGAGGCCTGTGCCTTACAGCTCTGGTATCGCCTCCAGGCAGGGCCTACACAGCCCAAGGTGGCCTCTCTCCTTGCACTCTCACTAGGCAGAGCTCTCTCCTGTCCCTTGGCCTTCCTGGTGGATTTCAGTGCTGGCTTCTGAGCCAGAGTGTGAGAGGAGGGGCGCCATCATCCCGAGGAGTGGGCTCCAGGCTCAGCTGTCAGGGAAGGACACTGAGGAACCTCCAGCACCTTCACTGGGAGACCAGCCCCTCGGCCCTGTCTGTCTACCCCTGTGAGCCCGAAACTCATGGATTTTACTTTTAGGTCAGTGATCAATTTTGTGCATGGTTAATTTTTTGTGTATGGTGTGAGGTAGGAGTCCAAATACCTTGTGTTGTAAGTGGAAGTCCAGTTGTCTCGGTACCATTTGCTGAAGAGCTGATCTCTCCTCCAGTGAGTGGTTTTGTCACCCTTGTTGAAACCAGTTCACCATAAAAGTAAGGGTTTATTTCTGGACTTTCAATTCTGTTCTATTGTCTCTATACCTGGCCTTAAGCCAGTACCATACTGCCTTGATTACTATAGCTTTGTAGTAAGTTTTGAAATCGGGACATGTAAGTCTTCCATCTTAGTTCTTTCATTAGGTAGTTTTGGCTCTCTGAGGCCTCTTGCAATTCCACATGAATTTTAGGATCAGATTTTCTATTTCTGCAAAAAAAAAAAAAAAAAAAAAAAAGGCAGTTGGAATTTTGTTAGGGATTGCATTGAACCCATAGACCAATATGGGGACTACTGTTAATATTATTGATTCTTCTAATTGAGGAACACAACATGTCTTTCCACATAGCTAAATGTTTAATTTCTTTTAACAATGTTTTGTAGATTTTAGTGTTCAGTTGTGCACTTTTGTGGTTGAATTAATTTCTAAGTGCATTCTTTTTGATGTGATTATAAATGGAATTGTTTTCATATTGTTTATTGTTTTAGAAATGCGACTCCGTTTTTAAATGTTCTTGCATTTGCAGTCTTGCGGAACTCATTTCTCAGCTGCAATATTTTTTGCATGGGTTTCTGATGATTTTGTATGCATAAAATCACGTCATCTGCAAATAGAAACAGTTTTACTTCTTCCTTGTCAACCTAGCTGCCTCTCATTTTATTTTCTTGCCTAGTCAGTCACATTGAACCAACCTTGCATTCATTGTGCAAACTCTTTTTTAAAATGTTGCTGGATCACGTTCACTGATATTTTGTTGAACATTTTGCAGCTGTATTCATAAAAGGTACTGGAAGGTTCACTTTTTTGTGTGACGATTTTGTCTGGTTTTGGTATCAGACTGGCCTCTGAATGAGTGAGGAAGTGTTCCTTGCTTTGGAAGAGTTTAAGAAGGATTGGTTAATTCTCCTTCAAACGTTTGATAAAATTCACCAGGGAAGCTATCTGGTCCTGGGGTTTTCTTTGTGGGATTTTTGTTTCTCCTTTTCGGCTTCAATCCCTTCATCTGTGTCAGGTCTGTTCAGATTTTCCACTTCTTCATGAGTCAGTTTCAGTAGTTTGTGTCTTTCCGGGAACTTGTCATTTTATTTAGATGATTTAATGTATTGAATTGGTTGGCACATTATTCTCGGGAGTCCCTCATAAGTCTTTCAATTTCTGTAATGTCATTAGTAGTGTCCTCTATTTCACTCCTTATTTTAGTAAATGTGAGTCTTCTCTTTTTTCTTGGTTTGACTATTGGCTATTCCATTTCCTTGATCTTTTCAAAAACAAACTTTTTTTTTTTTTTTGAGACAGGATCTCGCTGTGTCACCCAGGCTGGAGTGCAGTGGTGGTGCGATCTGGGCTCACTGCCGCCTTGACCCAGCTTGGGCTGAAGCTGGGACCACAGGTGTGTGCCACCATACCCAGCTATTTTTTACTTTTGTAGAGATGGGGTTTCGCCATTTGCCCTGGCTGCTCTTGAACTCCTGAGCTTAAGTGATCTGCCTGCCTCAGCCTCCCAAAGCGCTGGGATTACCTGTGTGAGCCACCACAACCAGCCTATTTTAATTGACGTTTTAAATCATTTTTCTACTTTAATTTGTCTCTGCTCTGCTATCTACTATTTCCTCTGCTTGCTTCGACTTAGCGTGCTGTCGTTTTCTGGTTTCTTTAGGTGGAAGGTTGGGTTATTGGTTTGTGATCTCTTTTGGTTTAGTGTGGTATCCACAGCTGTCCCTTTCCCTGTAAGCAGTTTGGCTTCATCTGTAAGTTTCAGTGTATTGTGTTTTCATTTCCATTTATCTGAAACTATCTTCCAAGTTCTCTTGTGAGTTCTTCGTTGCCCTATTGGATACTAAGGAGCTCAGTGTTTTATTTGAACATATTTTTTAGTTGCCCAAATTTCTTTCTGTTATTGATTTCTAATTTCACTCCATTGTGGTAAGAGAACATACTTTGCATGATTTCGATCATTTTAAATTTGTTGAGATTCATTTTATGACAATATTGGGTTTATTCTGTGAGACATTCCACGTGCATTGAGAATAATGGGCATTTTGCGGTTGCTGGTGGAGTGTTCGGCAGACGTTTAGAATGTGGAGAACTCTTCTATTCAGTGTTGATTTTCTGTCCTGTCGCTTTACCCATCATTGGAAACGGGCGATTGAAAGTTAGAAGTCTCCAGCTGTTATTGTTGAATTGTCCATTTCACCCTTCATTATTTCATTTTGCTTCCCGTATCTTGGGGCTCTATGTCGGGTGCACATACATTTATGATGGTGATATTTTCTTGATGATGTACCCTTTTTCCACGAAGATAAAATATCCCTGTCTGTTGTAACAACTTTTGTCCTGAGGTCTATTTTCTCTCATATTGTTACAGGCACTGCAGCTCTCTTCTGCTTACTGTTACATCTCTGTTCTTTTATTTCCAAGTCTCTTTGAATGTGCATTGAATCATGGTTTTTAAAAGTCCACTCCTCTATTCACTGCCTTTTGACCGGAGTGTTTAATTCACATTTGACCGACACTGCGTACGGAACTGACAAGGTAGAATTTAGGCGAACCATTTTCCATTTCTTTTCCATATGTCCTACATCTTTTTTGCTCCTCTGTTTCCACAGGGCCTTCTTCGGTGTTAAATACATATTTCCTAGTGTCTCATTTGAACGTATCTGTCATTTCTTTTACTATATCTTTTGAGGTGTTTTTTAGCGGTGGTCCTAGGGATTATAACTGATAATTTATAACAAGTGATCTCAGATTCATTATAACTTAATTTCAATGGTATACACTTTGCTCACATGCAGCCCTGTTCCCTCCCCCTCCTTTGTGCTGTCAGTCATATAAACTTTATATGTCATTTTCCTACCAGCGCAGATGTCTAATTATCACTCTCTGCAGTTGTCTTTTAAATCAGATAGGAGAAAAAAGAGCTACACACGTAAACTATTTATTTTTACATTATCCTTTAAAAATATTTTCCCCAATTTTTTTATTGTAATAAAATACACATAACAGGCAGGGCACAGTGGCTCACGCCTGTAATCCCTGCACTTTGGGAGGCCAAGGCGAGTGGATCACCTGAGGTCAGGAGTTCGAGACCAGCCTGGTCAACATGACGAAACCCCATCTCTACTTAAAAAAAAAAAAATTACCCAGGCGTGGTGGTGGGTGCCTGTAGGTCTCAGCTATTCAGGAGGCTGAGACAGGAGAATTGCTTGAACCCAGGAGGAGGAGGAGGTTATAGTGAGCCAAGATCGCATCACTGCACTCCAGCCTGGGTGACAGAGCAAGACTCTGCCTCAAAATAAACAAAAAACAAACCACGTAACATAAAATTTACCATCTTAGTCATTTCAAAGTGTACAGTTGAGTGCCATTAAATACATTCATAATGCATAAATGTCACCCCCATCTGTCTCCATAACTCCTCACATTGTGAAGCTGAAACTGTATAGTCAAAAAACAGTAACTCCCCATTTCTGCTCCCAGCACCTCCTGGCAGCCACCAACCTACTGTCTCTCTCTCTGATTTTGACTGTCTAAGTACCTCACATAAGTGGAATCACACAACCTTTGTGTTTTGTGACTGGCTTATTTTACTTGGCATAATGTCCTCCAGTGTCCTCCGTGTCGTAGCAAGGGTCCTTCCTTATTAGGGCCAACTTTCCTTTCTTTTTAGGGCTGAATAATATTCTGCTATCCATTTGTTCATTAGTAGGCGCCTGAGTTGATGTAGCACTTTAGCTGTTGTGAATGACGCTGCTCTGAGCTTGGGTATGCGGATATATTTTCAAGGCCCTGACTGCCGTTGTCTTGGGTGTATACCCGCAGTGCAACTGTGGGATCATACAGTGATTCTGTTTCTAAGTTTGAGGAACTCTCCGTGTTTTCGTACCAACTGCAGCAGTTCATATTCCCATCGGTGGCGCACAAGGGTTCCAGTTTCCCCACGTCCTTGCCAGTACTTACCATTATTTTTTGATAATAGTCAGGGTAACATGTGTGAGATGTCGGGTTATGGTTTTAATTTGCGTTTCCTCAGGAATAAATGACGTTGGGAATCTCTTCATTTGCCTATTGGACATTTGTGTATCATCTTCCGAGAAATGTCTGTCTGTGTCCTGTGCCCATTTTTAAATTGAGTTTTCTGTCTTAGCAGTTTAGGAGTCCTCTATATATTCGGCATATTAACCCCTTATCGGATAAATGATCCGCAAATATTTTACCCCGTCTTTTGAGTTGCCTCTTCCCTCTGTTGGTGCTGCCTTCTGATACACAAAGATTCTGATTTTCGTGACTTCCTCTTTGTCTCCTTCCTTCTTTTGTTACCTGTGCTTTTGGTGTCATATCCAAGAAATTATTGTAAAATCCAAGTCGTACAGATTCGTCTCATGTTGTAAGAGGTTTATAGTTTCAGGTATTATATTTAGGTCTTTGATCAATTTTGATTTAATTTTTGCATATGGTATAAGGCAAAATGTCCAACTTCTTTTTTTTTTTGAGATGGAGTGTTGCTCTGTCGCCCAGGCTGGGGTACAGTGGAGCAATCTTGGCTCACTGCAACCTCCACCTCCCAGGTTCAGACAATTCTCCTGACTCAGCCTCCCAAGTAATTGGGATTACAGGCATGTGCCACCATGCCCAGATGATAATTTTTGTATTTTTAGTAGAGACGGGTGATCCACCCACCTCGGCCTCCCGGAATGCTGGGATTACAGGCATGTGCCACCATGCCCAGATGGTAATTTTTGTATTTTTAGCAGAGACGGGTGATCCACCCACCTCGGCCTCCCGGAATGCTGGGATTACAGGCATGATCATCTTCATTCTGTTGGTTGTCAGTTTCCCAACACCGTTTGTCAGAAAGACCAGTCTGGCCAGTCGATGGCTCGCAGGATTAATCCCAGGACTTCGGAAGGCCGAGGTGGGCGGATCATCTGAGGTCAGGCGCTCCAGATCAGCCTGGCCACTGTGGTGAAACCTCGTCTCCACTAAAAATACGAAAATTAGCTAGGTGTGGTGGGGTGTGCCTGTTAACACAAAAAGTTGTCTGGATGTGGTGGTGTGCACCTGTGTGGGAGAATCACCTGAGCCCGAGAGGTCGAGGCTGCAGTGAGCCACGGTCATGCCACTGCAGTCTAGTCTGGGCAACAGAGTGAGACCCTGTCTCACTATAACTAACAACAGACATACACAGGGATCGCTGGGAATGAGGGATTGACAGCTGTAATGCTGCTTGCTTTCCTGTTTTGTCCTCCATTTTCTGCATTACTGTCTTCTGTGTCTACTTTTTAAGTGAAATATTTAAATTCCTTTCTCATTTCCCTTTGAGTACATTATATAGCTATTTCCTTTGTGGTCACCAGGGGGATTACATTTGACATTCTAATGTTATAACTCTAATTTACATTTATGCCTACTTAATTTCAATAAAATTGGCTCCTGTACAGCTGTATCCTTCTTTCACTTGCTGATGTCACAGAATTTCCTCTTAATTCACTGCACCTCTCAAAACACAAATTAATCATCCTTTTAAATCCATTAGACTCAAAGTATGAACAAAACAAGACTTGAGGTTAAAAACCAAAGTGATGAGAACACTAGCTTTTTGACTCATGCTTTTGAAAACGCATTCTCTTAAACCATTTAGAAAATAAAAAAGTGTGGTTACAAGCCGGTGTTACTATAATCCTAACTTTTATCCTGATGGTAACATATCTACTTTCACGAGATCTCTATTTCTTTATACAGCTTTTAGTTACTGGCTACCGTCTTTTCATTTCACCCTATAGTCTTTTGTTTCACCCTACAGGGCTTCCTTGAGCATTTCTCTCAGGGAGGGCCTAGTGGTAGTGAACTCCCTCAGTCATTTTTTTTTTTGAGACAGAGTTTCGCTCTGTCACTCAGGCTGGAGTGCAGTGGCATGATCTCAGCTCACTGCAACCTCCACCTTCCAATTTCAAGCAGTTCTCTGCCTCAGCCTCTCAAGCAGCTGGGATTACAGGTTCCCGCCACCAGTCCTGGCTAATTTTTGTATTTTTAGTAGAGACAGGGTTTCATCATCTTGGCCAGGCTGGTCTTGAACTCCTGCCCTTGTGATCCACCCGCTTCGATCTCCGAAAGTGCTGGGATTACAGCTGTGAGCCCCTGAGCCTGGCCTGTTTTCACTGTTTAAAGTTTTATTTTCTCTCTTTTCCTTTTTGTTTTTTTTTGTGTGTGTGTGTGATGGAGTTTCACTCTTGTTGCCCAGGCTAGAGTGCAGTGGTGTGAGCTCTGCTCACTGCAACCTCCACCTCCCAGGTTCTAGGTGATTCTCCTGCCTCAGCCTCCCGAGTAACTGGGATTATACATGTGCACCACCACACCGGTCTAATTTTGTAGTTTTAGTAGAGACAGGGTTTCACCATGTTGGCCAGACTGGTCTCAAACTCCTGACCACAGCTTGGATTACAGGAGTGAGCCACCACGCCCAGCCCTGTCTCACTTTTAAAGGACAGTGTTGCTAGATATAGAGTCCTTATTTATTTTTCTTGAACACTCAGAATGTATCAGCCCACTGCTTTCTGGCCTCCAAAGTTTTTGATATCTGCTGATAATCTTTTTTTTTGAGACAGAGTTTCACGCTTGTTACCCAGGCTGGAGTGCAATGGCGTGATCTCGGCTCACCGCAACCTCCGCCTCCTGGGTTCAGGCAATTCTCCTGCCTCAGCCTCCTGAGTAGCTGGGATTACAGGCCCACACCACTATGCCCAGCTAATTTTTTGTATTTTTAGTAGAGACGGGGTTTCACCATGTTGTCCAGGATGGTCTCGATCTCTTGACTTTGTGATCCACCCGCCTCGGCCTCCCAAAGTGCTGGGATTACAGGCGTGAGCCACTGTGGCCGGCCTGCTGATAATCTTGTTGACAATCCCTTGTTTGTGATAAGTAATTCCCACTGCTTTTAAGGTTCTGTCTTCTCTGTCTTCCAGAATTTGATGATAATGTGTCTTCGTGTGGGTTCTCTGAGTTCATGTTACCTGGAGTTCGCTGAGCTTCTTAGATGTTTATATACATGTCTTTCATCAGACTTGGGAGGTTTTAGACTATTATTTCTTCAAACGTTCTCCTGCCCTTTCGGTCTCTCTTGTCTCACAGTGCACGTGATGCCCTGTATCCTGGCGTCCCGCAGGTGTCTTAGGCTTTGTTCACTGTCATATTTTTTCTTTCTGTTCCCAGAGAAGAATCTCCACTGTCCTGCCTTCACGTTCACAGGTCTTTTCTTCTGGCTGCTCTGATCTGCTTTTTAATCCCTCTAGTGAATTTTCATTTCCATGATGATACTCTTCAGTTTTAGAATTTCTCTTTGGTTTTTCATCTGTTATGAATATTTCCATGGGTCATTTTTGTTTACTTTCTTGGCACCTTCCTTTAATCTTTCGGGCGTCTTGAGACCGTCGTTTTAAGGGCTTTTCTAGCAGATATGTACTCAGGTCTTTTCAGGGACAGTTTCTACTGACTCTTTTCCTTTAAATGGGCCATACTTTCCTGTGTCCTTGTATCTCCTGTGATTCTTTTCCTTGGAAATCAGACATCTGAATGTAATACCATAACTCTGAAAATCAGGTTTCCCCCTCCCCAGGGCTTGCTGCTTTTTGTTACTGTTTTGTTGTAGGTATTCTCTGTGCCAAGGGTCAGTCTTAGGTACAAACTTCGGGTCTCTTCAGGCCTTTTCTGAGCCTTTCCCTGCGCATGCATTATCACTTTCTAGTTCTCCCCCTACATGCAGCTGCTTTTGAGTGTCCTAGTCTTTCATGTCTGGCTTCCAAAAAGGGAAAAGGAGAAAAATAAAGTCGCTTCACCCAGTGCCGGCGAGCTTGCAGCAATGGAGGGAGGTGAAACCTGCTTCTTAACAGCTACAAGTGGACAACTGTCTGCCCTGGGGCTGGTGGGGAGGATAGGTGGCTGCTGCGGGTGCCAAAATCAATTGCATTTTGCCACCCAAACCTACTCCTGGAAGCTGCAATCCTTCCATAGACTCCAGAACTCCAGGACGGTTGCATCAGATGCTGCCAGTGCCATTTCTGGTGCTCATTGCTCCACCATCTTCCCAGACTCTTCCCAGAATGCCTTTTCTATCCTGCACCTACGTCATTGCCTTCGCCAGTGCTCTGTGTTCTTCATGTGGTTTTGAGTTACTGTCTTGTGTTCTTTCATTTCAATCTAAGCTACTCTTATCCGTATTTCTTGTACAACAGGTTTCCTGGTGATAAATGCTGGTTTTGATGACCCGATAATGTCTTAATTTCACCTGAAAGTTTGAGTTGACAGTATTTTTCCAGCATGTTTACTGTGTCATGCAGCTGCCTACTGGCCTCCGCGCTTTCTGGTGAAAGGACCCCCTGGATGAGATGACTTGCTCCTCTCCTGCTGCCTTCAAGATCCTCTCTTGTTCCTTGGCCGTGATGGTTTGATGATGATGTGTCTAAGTGTGGCTATCTCTTGGAATTGGTTAAGCTATTGTCTGTGTAGATACATCTTTATCTTTGGGAAATTTCAGCCATTATTTCTTTTTTTTTTTAAAGGTGGAGTTTCACCATGATGGCCAGGTTGGTCTTGAACTCCTGACCTCAGGTGATCCACCCACCTCGGCCTCCTAAAGTGCTAGGATTACAGGCGTGAGCCACCATGCCCGGCCCATTATTTCTTCAAAGAATTTTCTGCCCCTTTATCTCCCTCCTCTCTTTCCGGGGTTTCAGTTACGCATTTGTTTGCAGGTTTGATGGTGTCACACAGGCCTCTGAGTCTCTGGGCAGTTTTCTTCATTCTTTCTGTTCTCAGATTGGATCCTTTCCACTTACCTATTACCTGCTCCAATCTGCTGAGATTCTCCAGTGAGAGTTTAAATTCAGTTATTGTACTTTTCTACTCTTGAATTTCTACTTGGTTCTCTATAATTCCTGTCCTTTACTGATACTCTCTGTGTGCTGAAACATATGCTCATACTTTAATTTAGAAAAATTTTCCTTTGCTCTTGGAACGTATTTAAGACCCTTAATGTAAAGTATCCGTCAGGTACCTGCAGCCCCGTCTTCCTCCGAGACGCTCTCTGTTGACTGCCTTCTTCCCCATGTGTAGGCCGGACTTTCTCATTTAAAAATGAACATTTAAAATAGTATAATGTGGCAACTCCAGAAATCAGGTACCTCCCCTGCCCCCGGGGTTTGTTGTAGTTTGTTTATTATTAGCGTTTCTGAATTAATCAGGTAAAATCTGTATTATCTGCCATGTGTGGCCACTAAGTCTCTCCTCAGTTTCCTCAGTGGTCGGTTAATGAACAGACGGAGATTTCCTTGAAGGCCCAGAAGCAGTCGTCTCCCAGCTTCTCTTCGGAGGTTCCATGCAGTTAACAGTTCTGCACTAGCCCTCACTTCCGGCTTGCACAGAGCCTCAAGGTCAGCCGGAAGTGCAGCTCAGGGCCTTCTGAGGTCCTTCCCCAGCAAGCAGGCAGACCTGGGAACATGTGTGGCCTTCTAGATGTTTAGGAATATGTTGGATATTTTTCGGTTTTTTTCAAAGCTCCCCATGGACATCTCACTTCCCAGATTCTCCTTTATTTATTTTTCAGTTGTTCCATTACTTGCCCAACTGTTAGCCAGCCCCTTGGGCTACTGCAAAGTTCATCGATTCCCTGTAGTGATTTTCGACAACAGCCCCAGGAGAACACTCTTCTCATGCCGGGTGAGCTCTGAATCCAGTCAGAAACACAGATTGCAAGCGGTGTCTTCCAGGGAACCACCGGATAGGTCAAACAATCATGCCTTTCTGGAAGTGAGGCTTTGAAAGAGCTCCAGCTCTAGTGGCTGCCAGGCTGTTCATTTTTATTATAAATATGGGTGTTAATTTTTAAGGCTGCCACAGTGCTGAAGGGGGAGGATGGGCAATGCATGCTGTTCTAAGATTCAGCCTATTCCCTCAGAAAAATAAAATAACTCTACATAGCTTGCTGCAAGCCTTCGGTGAATTTCCAGAGTACTTAAAAATGTATTCTGACCTTCCCGCCACTTTTCTCACTGCTTGGAGGAAGACAAGACTTCTCAGAGGTCCTTGTGCTGCACTCTCAGCTCCGCTCTTGGCATCTTCCTACGGATCGAAAAAGCTACTGTCAAGCTCCTATTGGAGGGAGGTCACCTGTTGCACAGAGGGAAAAAACAAAACAAAACAGTATTTAGAACCAGACAGCAGCAGCAGATTCTCCTCCCAGATCTGTGGCTTACCAGCAGTGACCTGGCCTCCTTTGCAAGCTGGGACTGGGGGAGCCACTGTGAAATCTGATGGGTGCTGTGTGTGCTGCCCTCCCCTCGGCCTGGCGTGGTAGCAGCCGTCATGCTTCCAGACGGGAAGCAGCGAGGCAAGGTCCTCACTCAGCTAAAGAAGAGCAGCGGGGCACTGTGTGGGCTGCGGCTCAGCCCACTGGCACCAACCCCATCCTCCTTCCGGGTGTCCTCTTGGGCTGCAGAGGCTGCAATGCTGAATCCAAAACCTTGGATTCCCCGACCTGATTCAGGCTCTGCCAATCAGTCGGAAGTGTCAGAGAAACCTGAATGCAGACTGGAGGTGTGTGGGCGAGGGGGACGCAGGAGCGAGTGGCCATCTGCTCTGGGGTGACTGGTTCCTGCGCAGGGGGGACCAGCTGCCCACCCAGCAGCCCCATCCTGCTGTGCAGTGTGGGAGGTCACCCTTGGACACTCAGTCCAGAGCCTCCCTCCAACCCTCCTCACAATTCTATAAGCCACTTACCCCCCATAGTAAATCCCTGTCTGCTCACACTGGTTACGGTAGGCTTAGTTCTCTGTAGGCGCTCTGATTGAAAATAAAATCCTGGCGTGACAGGGTGTGATCCGGCACTCCTCTGTTGGTGGGGGGTGGGGGTGGGAGGCCATCTGCAGCTGTTCTCCCTGAGGCCTGTATGGCAGGAAGAAGGGGGCCTGGAAAGAATCCTCTGGGTAGGGAGAGCTGCACGTGCAAAGGCCCTGGGGCATGAGCAACGTGGGGTGTCTCGGGCAGGAAGGAGGTCAGCCAGTGTTGAAGAGGAGGGAGAGAGGAGAGTGGGCTGCAGAGAGCCACTGGAGGCCCCATCCCCTGCGAGTCTGAGGATGAGGATGAAGAAAAGGGGAGTGGGGCAGGGAGAGCCACTGGATGGCGTGGCCCCATCCCTGGGAGTCTGAAGTCTCAAAGGCTGAGGCAGCCTTTAGAGAGCAGGTGTGTGCAGAGCCCGTGGTGCCTGGCTGGAGCAAGGCCCTGGGAACATGTCGGAGTGAACAGGCAAGCAAGTGCGAGGCACCCACGTGGGCCAGCGCAGCACTTTTCAGGGGGGTTTTCCAATGCGCAGCAGCGTCCCTTGGGGAGCCAGAAACTGAACCTGGAGTCTGGGAGCTCTGGAGGAGGCTGCGTGTCCCGTGGGTGGGGATTCCCAGGCTGAGTCAGCAGATGTGGCTGGGAGCTCGGCACTGCTGGGCCAGGCCTGGGTGCCTGTGCCACACCCCAGGGAGGGGCTGTGGGCAAGCCCTGAAAGAGCCGTTGTCATGCTAGTCCCTGAGGGCGGGCCCCGGCCAGAGCCCTGCAGAAAGGTAAAGAAGGCCTCTCCCTTACCAGCTGGGGCTCCAGCACCCCTGGAGGGATCTTGGGTTCTGGGGCCCAGGGCAGGGCCACACAGCCTAGGAACAGGGCAGGACTGGCAGGGGAGGCTCAGCAGGGCTTCCTCAGTGCTGTAGGCTCCACGCGGCTCACAAACAAACCCATGGAAACCCCAAACCCGCCTACTCAGATCCAATTCCAGCCCCACAGACCCCACCCTCCCAGGCCTGACTGGGAGCTTCACAGCACCTTGCGGTTGTCCAAAAGTCCAACCTCAGCAACACATTTTGGTTAACAGACAACTTTTAAACACTGCCAACACCCTGGGAGTGTGGGCCGCTGATTACTCACACTGCAGTCTACACTTACCCAGCTGCAGCAGGCAGTAAGGGGCGTCAAGGACAAGGGGGTTGCCCGCTGGGGCCGTGGCAGGGCAGCCAGGTGGAGCTGGACGCGGAAGAGGGGCTGCTCTGCCCAGCTGCAGACAGGCAGCGAGCGCTGGGCACACTCCCCTGAAAACCACCTTGGGGCAAGTGGCTCAAGTGACCTCCAGGAAGGCCCTGTCCTCAGAGGACCCTGGCATTGCTGTCAACTGATTCACTAAGCACTTTGTTGAATAAGGGAATCCAGTTTACAAAATGTATCCGCTCCACCCAGCCTCCCGCAGCCTTGGGTGTAGTGGGGTCACTTCTGCGTCCCCATCTCTGAGATGCAAAGAATACTCACCATGTGGTTAATGAATGAATGTACTGTGTGTGTGCGTGTGTGTGTGTGTGTGGGGGTGGGTCCTCCTGCCTATGGGTACAGAGAAACTCTCCTGTGTGGGCAGGGGACACTGCAAAGTGCTATCTCCTGTGACCCTCAGCAGAAGGTAGGACAGAGACTTCCGGTTCCCAGAAGAGGGTCTGAGAGTCAGAGGGGTTCCAGCAGGACCCAGAAGGCACAGAGTCACGCAAGCTCACTCAGTCACTGGCCTGGGTCCCTGCTTCGGTGCAGAAACAGCTCTGCCTGAGACCCCAGCCCAATCCAACCTCGGGGGCCACAGGATCCGGCAGATTGAGCCCACCTGGCCCCAGGCCTGCCATGTCCCCTCTCTGAGCACAGCAAAGAAACTTCCCATGTCCCACGGTGCCCCAGGGGCCTTTGGCCGGCGTGCTTTTGGAGAGGCCTCCCACCTCCAAAGGAAATTCCTCCTGGCTGCATCTACTCCAGCCCTCCAAACCAGCCCTGTCCCTTCCCGCACAAATCAGCTGTGGCCCTGCCTGGAGTGCCCCGCTCCACCACCCCAAATCCTAGCTGGAGCCCCCCAAAGACCTCGGCCCACCACCACTCCACATTCTAGCCGGAGGCCCCCAAACCTGGGCCCACCACCACCCCACATCCTAGCTGGAATCCCCCAAACACCTTGGCCCACCACCACCCCACATTTTAGCTGGAGCTGCCTCCTCACTACCCTGGGCCCACCATCACCCCACATCCTAGCTGGAGCCCCCCAAAGACCTCGGCCCACCACCATCCCACATTCTAGCTGGAGGCCCCCAGGCCTGGGCCCACCACCACCCCACATCCTAATGGGGGCCCTAGGTTGCAGAGCTCAGGGAGACAGCGTGAGGGCTGGGCTGCTGGGCCAGGCCTGGGTGGCTGTGCCGCACCCCGGGGAGGGGCTGTGGGCAGCAGGAAAGAGCTCCTGTGGCCCCTGGCTTGTCCTGCAGCATCCTTGGCCTCCTGTGAGACCTGGGGAGTCTCAAAGCCACTGTCACAGCCATAACTGGACTGAGAGGGGACTGTGCCTGAGCGAATCTCTGGAGCAGCACCCTGGCTTCCCACAGGAGAACTTGCCCCAGGCCCAGCACCTCCTTCCTCTCCTCAGTACCAGAGCCAGAGGCTTTGCCAAGGGGCCCGAGCTCCTTTCAGTGGAGAAAGCTGCCCAGAAGGGAGGGATTAGTCCCGGGAGGCAGAGGAGCTGCAGTACTGCTGCCCCACGCTGCTCTGGGAAAAAGCCCTGTGGATCCGAGTCTGGCCTCAGCAGCGGTTACCAGGCCCGCTGTGGGGACCCGTGGAGGGCCTGGGATCCTTCCAGACGGTGGACGAGATTGAAGCCGGTTGCACGAGAGCCTCCCATGCTCTGATGGGCACACAGCGGTTTTCGAGGGCTGCAGGCCAGAGCAGGTATCTGACAAGGCCAGTAACACATGGGCAAGGCTGGATGTTCCTCAGAGACCAGCCAACAGCACGTCTCAGCAGAGGAGCTGAGAACCCAGCTTCCGCCAAGCCAGGCAATACGAGGATCTCCGCAAATGCGGAACCACGTCACATTTCTCAGCCAGGTTTTCCATGTTTAAAAGTCTGGTTGTTTTTCATAAAACATGTGTAATAGCAATATTTTGTTAAAGTGGATTGATAAGTATTCTGAACACTGCTGTTATGATTTAGAAAATGGTAAGTATCCGGCCGGGCGCGGTGGCTCAAGCCTGTAATCCCAGCACTTTGGGAGGCCGAGGCGGATGGATCACGAGGTCAAGAGATCGAGACCATCCTGGTCAACACGGTGAAACCCCGTCTCCACTAAAAATGCAAAAGATTAGCTGGGCATGGTGGCGCGTGCCTGTAATCCCAGCTAGTCAGGAGGCTGAGGCAGGAGAATTGCCTGAACCCAGGAGGCGGAGGTTGCAGTGAGCCGAGATTGTGCCATTGCACTCCAGCCTGGGTAACAAGAGCAAAACTCCGTCTCAGGAAAAAAAAAAAAAGAAAGAAAATGGTAAGTATCCGTAGGTATAACCCACACAAACAGAAATTTCCTCAACGAAATATTTTTTTTGAGATGGAATCCCACTCTGTCGCTCTGTCGCCCAGGCTGTAGTGCAGTGATCTCAGCTCACTACGACCCACACCTCCTGGGTTCAAGCAAATCCCCTGCCTCAGCCTCCTGAGTGGCTGCGACCACAGGTGCACTCCACCACACCTCAGCTGATTTTTATTTTTTTTTTGGTAGAGGTGAGGTCTCCCTATGTTGCCCAGGCTGGTATTGAAATCTGGGCCCAGGTGATCCTCCTGCCTTGGCCTCTCAGAGTGCTGGGAGTACAGCGGAGCCACTGCGTCTGGCTCTCAGTGACTTTAGAGTGTGAAGGAGGCCTCAGATCAAAACATTTGAGAAGCACCGAGGCGGAATCTTGGCCTGGGGGTCTGGAGTCTAAATACTGCATTGCTCAGCTTGTCTGCGATTTTCACTTAAAATACAGGTTAGCTCATTTGTGTCTGTTTGCATTCTGTCCTTGTTACTTCTATTTATTTGTTTTCTCTTTTTGAGCATGTGAAACACTAACGGGGTTCCAAAACTCAGAGTGTTTTGTCTAAGCTTAAAAGCCCTCTGGGTGATTCCGATGAGCAGAGGCCGGGAAGGATTGAGCAAGAGCATCCCCACGCTCCTTCCTCCACTCTGGTTTCCAGATCCCATGACCCGGGACCTATAAATATTTTCCTGACATGGAGCAGGAATCAATTTCAGCATCTGTTAGTGGCACCCCAAAGGAAGGGAGGCCCAGAGTCCCTGGGAGGGTTCTGCACCGCACACCACACACACCACAGCCACACACCACACATACACACACACACTGCACACACCACACACACCACACCCACACACCACACATACACATGCACACTGCACACACCACACACCACACCCACACGCCACACACACCACCCCCACCACACCCACACACCACACCCACACACACCACACACACCACAGCCACACACCACACCCACACACACCACACACACCACAGCCACACACCACAGCCACACACCACACCCACACATACACACACCACACACCACACATACACACACACACTGCACACACCACACACCACACCCACCACACACCCACACCACACCCACACACACCACACATACACACACACCACACACACCACAGCCACACACCACACCCACACACCACACATACACATGCACACTGCACACACCACACACCACACCCACATGCCACACACACCACCCCTACCACACCCACACACCACAGCCACACACACCACACACCACAGCCACACACCACACCCACACACACACACCACACCCACACATACACACACCGCACACACCACACACCACATACACCACACACCACACCCACACCACACACACACCACACATACACACACACACCGCACACCACACCCAGATGCCACACACACCACCCCACCACACCCACACACACCACACACACCACAGCCACACACCACAGCCACACACCACACCCACACATACACACACCACACCGCGCACGCACACACACCACACACCACACATAGACACACACACTGCACACACCACACACCACACCCACCACACACCCACCACACCCACACACACCACACACACCACAGCCACACACCACACCCACACACCACACATACACATGCACACTGCACACACCACACACCACACCCACACGCCACACACACCACCCCCACCACACCCACACCACACCCACACACACCACACACACCACAGCCACACACCACACCCACACACCACACACCACACATGCACACTGCACACACCACACCCACATGCCACACACACCACCCCCACCACACCCTCACACCACACCCACACACACCACACACCACAGCCACACACCACAGCCACACACCACACCCACACATACACACACCACACCCACACATACACACACCGCACACCACACACCACATACACCACGCACACCACACCCACACCACACACAGACCACACATACACACACACACCGCACACACCACACACACACCACATACACCACACACACACCACATACACCCCACACCACACACCACATACACCCCACACACACCACACATACACCACACATATACACACTACACACACCACACACCCCACACATACACACACACCACACACCACATACACCCCACACACCACACACACACCACATACACCACACATATACACACCCCACACCACACCCACACGCCACACACCACACACACCTCACACACCGCACACACACCACACACACTACACACACACCACACGCACCACACACACACCATACACCATACACCACACACACCACACACCATACACCACACACCACACACACACACCATACACCACACACCACACACACACCACCACACACACACCACACACCATACACACACCATACATACACCACACACACCATACACCACACACCACACACACCATACACCACACACCACACACACACCATACACCACACACCACACACACCATACACCACACACATCACACACACACCATACACCACACACACACCACACACACACCATACAGCACACCACACACCACACACACACCATACACCACACACACCGCACACACCACACACCGCAGACACCACCCGCCTGCAGCCCCAGCCCTGCACGGAGTCCTGGGGAGGGTGCCCCCTTTCTGTGGCTTCTTTCTGACTCCCTGCGCGCTTTACCCCAGACCCTCAGCCCACTCTGACCTCCCCCCAGGAGGGATGTCTGGCAGATGCACTGGGGCCCCAGTGTAGACCGCTTGGCTGTTCTGTGCAGTTTTAGGCCATGCCATGAAAGAGACTTAAAGCCAGGGCCGCAAAGACCAGGGGTGCCTTATCCGGGAGCCAGAGCCTCCCCAGGCCACCTCCAGCACTTAGACCGAAGTCAGGCCACGCGCAGGGCCCTCCAGGTCACACCCTGCGGGAAGGTGTAGCACGCTGGCTTTAATTTCAAGAAGGCGAAAACAAGAGCCCCTCGGTCCCCACGCTCTGGGCTTTCCCGGCTTGGGGCACAGAACTGCCCTCCGAGGCACCTAGGGAGGCGCCGGGAAGGCGCTCGAGGGAACGGGAGAGAATCGGAAGGGAGAGGAGAGAGGAGAGGGGGGAGGAGTGTGGGAGGGGAGGCGACCGGAGGGGAGGGACAGGACAGACAGACAAAGAAAGGGGTGCGGCCGCGCGGCGGGGGAGGAGAGTGATCTGGCTGGGGAAGGTCGCTGGGCAGGGCGAGTTGGGAAAGCGGAGCCCCTGGAGCCCCCGCAGCCCCTTCTCCTCCTTTCTCCCACGTCCGGTCTGCCTCTCGCAGGAGGCCAGGCTGTGCAGCTCCGAGGACGGGAGGAACTGGAGCCTCATTGGCCGGCCCGGGGAGACGGCCTCGGGCTTAAATAGGGGCTCTGGGCTCTGGCTGGG